AAAAGCAACTGAACACTTTACTCCGCTGACTTTAAACTTGCATTCAAATATAATCCAAATTTCAAATGATCCCCAAAATTATTGTCCAACCTCACTTCAAAACAGTTCTGATTTCTTTAAAGGAAACTAACTACTCAAAAATAATCGGTGAAACTGGAATATTAATCCTCTCTTCGGAAGTTAAGGTACGTACTATTCTATTTTTAATTTAATGATCATTAATATTTTCAATTTTTAAGGCCTATCGCAATTATGTTATTTCATGAATTTTAATTTTCTCAATTTAAATGACATTTCTGTACTTCAATAATAATTTATAAGTCAAATGGTTTCTCTTACTCTCTGAAACAAATTCTGAGTATCTCTGCTGTGGAAAAACTAAATTTTGATTAAACGATTTGAAAACACTCTCGGACCATCCACAGTTTTTTCTGGGGGCTCCCTTCGTCAAAAAATTCTCGTCGCCGTCTTCCAAAAATAAAAACCAATTATTCTCCGTTGCTAACAGCAACCAACGTTCTGTTTTCTTTTCGTCTTCTATTTTATTAAACCATAGAACTGTCCTGTTCTGATACATTTATCAATCCACATTAATTTCTCATAATCACTTTAATCACATCTAATTTGGGAATTTGGGAATATAAAACTTATTCTATTACAATACTAATACAATTTATTCTTTTCATCTCCACATCATTGTAATTTCTTATTTAACAAAACCCCTATTAATTTAGCTCCCACAGACTTGCTTGACAGTTTATTTCTGATGTTTTTAAAATTTCTATGTTTAAATATTTTTTAAGAATTCTTCTTTTTCGTTCTTTTTAAGGCAACTCATGCACTCGATTCACCTACACACTAGGCAACTATACTATTCAGAAATTATTAACACTATACCAGGTAGGTCAAAATTAATTTATTTAACAATTTACTAATCTTTTTCTCTCTTTTATTTCAGAGTCGAACCCACATTGTGATGGCTTCATGAAATTCATGAACAAAAAACTCATATAAAAATCCATTTAAGTTGTATCCTTTTTAACATATTGAAATCATTTCAATATATATAATTTCTCTAGTTAATCTATTTCCAGTTTTAATGTTTGCCGTCATATTTTTGTAGAGCTGTTGTACTGCTTGTATATTTTTTTGCTTATCCTTGTTTTTCCATTGCTATCCAAAGCATTGAAAGTTGTACACTATCGTATGCCTTAGTAATAATAATATTATCTTTCTATTCATTTCCACTTTTAATATGGGTAACCCGATACTACAGCATTTTTCCGAGGAATTTGCGACGCAATCGATTTCATTTAACATACCTACTCTATGTTAATTTTCCTATGCGTGTTTAGATGTTTAAGATCTATCAAATTCTCTATTTTTGATATAAGATTGATGTTCACTTATTCTAATATTTAATGGTCTTGATGTTTTACCTAAATACTAGTAAAACTGTTCGCATTCACAAGGTATATTATAAATACAATTCTTTGTTCTTTCTTGTTCATTATAAGGTTTAGTTTTAGACAAAATATTGTGTTTTTTATTTTAAATGTTGTTGAAATGTTAAATTTATTTCTCATTATTTTAAGTTTTTCGGATAATCCTTTTTTCTGTTTTTATTTTCCACACATTATTTCTTGTGCATATTATAGGATCACGTTCTATTCCAGTTTTTCTATTCTTGGAAATTTCTTATTTATAAATTGCTTATTTTAAAAGTAGATTATAATATTTATAACTTTTTAGCAGTTTATTTAAATTTACAATGTCAATACTGAAAACAAATTTGTTTACCTTAACATTTTTAAAAATTAATTATCACATTATTTGCATCAACATACGTAAATGTTCATTTTCCAGATTATTTGTTTTCTAGCGATATCTAAACTATTTTGTTTATCAGCCAACTCATGCTTTTGAAGTTGACGTCTCTTGACGAATATTATCTCAATAACTATCTCAGTTATTTGGAGATCCACAGTAATTTTCTTTAACTTTATTCCTATCAGGAATACGTTTTCATTTTTAACTTTTTTGATCTCAATATTATCCATGCTAGATGTACAGACCCACGTTCCAAAAATGACCGTTGTATCCATTAATAACCTGAGTGCCGGTTTGTAAATTAAATATACGGGTAATTCCAGTAATAATCGACACAAGTCGGTGGGGTCACCCTCTCCGATTTGGCTGAAATTTTAGACACATGTTGTACTAGAAAAAAAAACATGATTGTCAAATATTCAGACCTTAATATTCAAAATGGCGGCCGTGGTGCGCTATTGAAGTTTCACGCTTTTTATCAATTTTTTTTCGTGTTTCGCCGATTTTTTTAGTACAGTGAGCTAAATATGCTAAAACAAATAATATTCACTATGTTTTTCAATGTAAAATTTTCTGCTGAATACGATCCTGGTGTCAGAATTGTCATAGGACGTCATGTAAAGCTACAAAATGCGAAACAAAGCGCTTTTTTTGAAAAATTCATATCTCAAAAACAACCGCTTTAATTTTTTTTAAATTTTCACAAAAGACGCCTTAATACAAGTACTTTCGAATAAAAGTTGTCTCAGAAATCCTTTTTATATGTTTGAAGCCGCTGCGCCCCATAAAAGTCCAAAAAACGCGATTTTCCTGCCTTTTTTAGCGCTTTTCCTTCGTTTTCCAACTTTCAAATAACTTTTAGAGGTTTTTTCGCAACGAATTCGAATTCTGCGGAAAATTTTACACAAAAAATGACTATTATGAATTTATTTACTACCGATTTTACCGTTTTATAGGGGGCAACACAATATTAAACGCAGAATTGCGCGCTGTAATCAATACATTTAGATTTAGAGTCATTTAGATTTTTAAACTGCTGCGTTAGCCTTTTTGTTTTCTGTACACCAAGCTGGGGATCGAACTCACATCCGCTAAACAACTCGCAGTAAAGCGAATGAGAAACCAACCGCCCCGCCCGCTTGGCCATCTGCCAATCAATCTACGAATCAATAGTAATAATCGCAAATATATTAAACAACATATACAACTGTGAAGAAATACCAACAACCTGGCTGAAATCTGAGTTTATTGCACTTCTAAAAAACCAGGAACCAAAAAATGCGAAGATTACCGTACTATAAGTCTCATGAGTCATCTCCTAAAACTGTTCCTAAAGATAATTCATAAGAGAATCTACAAGCTGTGTGGAAGTCAAATTTCCCCCAACTAGTTCGGGTTCACAAATGCTATTGGTACTAGAGACGCTTTGTTCGCAGTAAAAGTCTTATTCTAGAGATGCAGAGACGTCAACTGCGACGTATACGCATGTCTGATTGATTGCAAGAAAGCGTTTAATCGAACGCAGCACGCCAAGATGATGCAAATACTAAAAGAAACAAGAATTAATAACCAAGATCTGAAAATAATTAGAAATCTTTACTAGAATCACACAGCAAATCTCAGAATTGAAGGTGAACATATTGACCATGTGAAAATCATGCGTGGAGTGAGATAAGGCTGTATTTTGTCTTCTCTAATCTTTAATCTGTACTCTGAAAGAATATTTATCGAAGCTTTGCACGAAACTGAAAAAGGTATTTTACTAAATGTTTACCGGCTAAACAACAGCAGATACGCAGATGACACCATAGTATTTGCGGACAACCTAGAAGACCTACAAGTTCTTAGGAACAAAATCACGTATTACAGTCAACAATATGGACTCAATATAAACGTTAAGAATACAAAACTTATGATAATTAGCATGAAAAGGATAACAGGAGGTCAACTCTACGTCAACCAATCCCATACAGAAAGAGTGAAGCACTACAACTACCTCGGCATCATAATAAATGAAGAATGGACCAACAACCAAAAGATTAGAGCACGCATCAGAAAGCTAGATGAACCTTCAATCAGATGGGGGCCTTCTTCAAGATTCTCACAATCTCTCGTGTTGAATCGTTTACCTTGAACAAAGATATGTGTAGAAAACTGGAAGCATTTAAGATGTGGCTATATCGGAGAATGCTTAAGATACCGTGGACTGACCGAGTCACAAATAAGGAGGTCTGAGACGGGCACGTACGTTAGGGAGTTAAGATAGAAAAAACGAACAAGGCAACTACCAAAAAAGAACTACACTTTATCTTTGTTATTTCTGTACGTATAGCTGATAAGGTTACTGACATACGAGATATCACCTGACAGTGTCAATATATATAATTTGCTTATTCTGTCTGTCTGTCTGTCTGTCTATGTGTGAAGTGAAAGGGGAGGGATAAGGATTTTATTAAAGGTGACTACCAAATGGGCACTACACCTTATTTTTGTTATTAATGAACGTATAGCGACATACGAGATATCCCATGACAGTATCAATAAGTATGTATAATTTGTTCATTCTGTATGTAAATTTCTTAAACTGACTAAATTTTCAATTTAGACAATACCTTTAAGTTACCTTCATGAAACGTTATTGATAAATGTAAAGAATTAGGGATTCGAATAATTTATGCAACCAAATTTTAATTTTCTAAAACGCATCGTGAATACGTCTTTTGTTAACGTTGGCTCACTGTAAAGGACCACATATTGCCGATTAACATGTATAGGAAACTATTAAAATATTGTTATAGCCAATGGATTTTGACAAGAGCTATGATCTTGTAAATAACAAGTAAACTTGTGTACTAAGTTGACATGACTCATAGCTCTTGTCAAAATCCATTACCTTTAACAGATATTTTGATTTTCTCATTAGTAAACAACGTATTCAAATTGCACCTCGTGCAATTGGTAGATCAAGATACATTTATGCGTCACCTTCCCCAATTTCTTGTTGTACTGTATATCCAATAATTTTAATAGTTTGATTTTTTTCGTTTTACATTATCCAACTTTAAATTTTATCGCTTTACGCTGGTATTATTTAAATTTTCCTTTTTATTTTATTGTTCTAAATTTGTTTTTATACATCTCTAACGCACTATTAATAAAAATAACAATAATTTAATGAACTTTATTTTATTATTATAAAATATTATTTACAATAGTATATTTGGTTTCGGAGGTGATGTTGTTGTAGATGTAGTAAAACGGCTTAAGGTCGCAGTGGTGGCTAGTATTATTCTGAAACAAACAAAAAAGAGGTCAATCATAGTTACATTTCCTGCATTAATGCTACTTTATTCATAAATAAAAATTTGAATGGTCACCAAAAGCTTCACTAATATAATAACCATGATCTTTTCTAAGTCTTACTCTCTCTACTAAATAGAACAGCAATTACTTTAACCCGGCAACTGTGTTGTGAGGTGAAAATCACCCACATCGTTCATTAGCACTTGTTAAAATAGTGGTAACATTGCAAGATTCTTCTGGCGCCATGAGTATAACACTTTCCATAATATAACACAAGGATCTACAGACCGAGAGTTTCGTATAAAATCCACGGCTTCGCGCAATCGTACTTTGTGAATTCATGCGCTGGTCGAATGGAGTTATAATTTGCCAAATTTAAATGTAATCGTTTCTACTCATTCAGATTAATATTATAATGTATAATGTATTAACATTTTTAATATTGCTAATTTTATTAAAGCTTTTAATATTGTTTTTTAATATTAATAATACTATTAAGTAATTAAATATTGCAGCTTGCTTAAAAAAAGTCCGAGATAAATAACTCGTTTTTTATAACGCTCTAGAATATGTTCCATCGATAAAATTATAAAAACCATAATTAACGAGTGTGTTGATTGTGACAAAAAAAGCGCCGATTTGACTTTCTTATTACTAATTCGCATATTAGGCAGTTATTTTACATAGTCTCAATTCTCTTAAAGATTTTTGTTTCATTGAAAACTGAACCTGATATTAATTTCTTGAAAATCTTTACGTATGCTAAGGGCAATAAAAAATAAATTAAAATACTTCGATAAAAGACTGTAGGTAGGTACCTATAATTTGAACAAGCTGGTTTTGCCCATACTGACTTTCTAATTACTAAATTTACATAACAGTCAGATATTGTACCTGGTCACAATGCTGTTTAATATTACGATTTTCATTTCGCTTGTTGAAACTCCATCCGATATTAATTTCTTGGATCTAGGATCTGAGTTTTTTCTTCTTTTTGCATAAAATATTACAAATTTATTTAAAATACCCTTTATTTATTAATTCGTTTCATTTTCTACTTACACAACAAAACACAGGAGTTTAAATTATAAATACAAAACTAAATTTATATTTCACAACGGTCAAAATCCACACTTAAAAGTATTCACACCACAGAATATTAGTTATACGCAAATATTCAAACAGAATCAACAACCAAACATCCGACACAGCGTCTCAAGTAAGATTGCGCGAAGCCGTGGATTTTATACCAAATTCTCGGTCTGTAGATCCTTGTTATTATAACAGATCTTGTATGGCATCATAAATTTCAGTATATAAATAAGACTTGAATGAGTGGTGTCGCCTTATTTGGACTTGTGGGTGATTTTGACCCCACCACATAGTTCAAGTTTAGTATTATTTAGTTTTTGGTAAGTTTCACAACACATCACCGCTTTATTTTTAACAGGTAAAATTTTATACTACCACAATTATTTTGAATATGTTAACAGAAGCATAATTAAATTGGTAGGAATATTAAAAATTAATTAGATATTATTAATTTCAGACATAGAAATATGTGTAGTTGGGAGAAAGAAGAAGAAGCCTTCTTGAAGCTTTGGCAGGATGATTGAACTGGATCTGAGTTAGGATCAAAAAGCGAATCTGAAATGAAATTCAGCATTTATCGGATGGAATGGGAAAACAAAATCTACAAAGTACTATCCTAATAAATCGGTTAGACCACGACAAAAATATTTAGTTGCTTCACTTCTCGATGTCTAATTGTTAATTATGCTATTAAACAAAAGTTCTTGATTACTTTTTATAAATTTTGTATTTTTTTTATTCAGTATATCCAACAACAATTCTGGTAACAAAAAATTTGGTTAATTAACTAAATTTTAGTTTTTTTTTGAATCATAGAATTTTTTAACGGAAATTTTTAAAATGACATAAATTTGACAAATTATATATAACAATATACCTAACCATAATTTAAAATGTTAAGGTTGCATGTAAAAATAAAATATTTTCTCAATTTTATAAATAAAAAATGGGGTGATAATTACCCCAAAACACAGCTAGTGACAAAAAATGTCACGACACAGTCCCCTGACTAAATTAACAAAACTATTTATTCTCGTTAATAATTGTAGTAGTTGATCCGGTTATTAGGAAATGAAAAATATTTGCATAATTATGCTTATCTTCTTATTCAATCCAGAGGTCTGGAATGAATATGGATCAAGATATTTGATAGGTTTTGTTGTCTGTTTCTGCTTCAAACTGTGTTCCATCTTATCAAGTGGCGGTATTGGGTATTCATCATATTTGGTATTTAATATGTTGTACTCAAGAGGGCCCTCTCTCCATAATTGCCACATTAAAACTGTGCACCATTCTTTAAATTTACACAAATTTTTATTGCATCTATTAAAAGAAAATCTCGAGAATCCTTAAATTAATTACGATTTAAATTATATACATACTTTTGGGACAATCCTTTTCTTTTACGCAACTATTATCCACTGTGTTTCTTATATAACCATTGGTTATATCACATTCGCATCTGGGAATGCAAAGACCTCCACAAGAAAAAGATGGACGTTGTGGTTTTCTGTTTTGACAAGTTGGTATGGGGTGGCACGGGTTGGTGCAGTAGCTAGCTTCATTTGGAGGACATTTTTCTAAAAGTATAAATATTTAAATTATTCTAATAAAGTTATTGTATATTCTTCTAATTTGTACAATGAATGATAAGCTTAACTTAACGAGATATCCATAAGGCTACATGGCTCTCACCGAATGGTTAAACAACCAACCAGATAGATTATATGTTAACACAGGGGTGGCGAACCTTTTTAAGTCGAGTGCCAATATGAGAACAAAAAAAAATTTTCGTGCCACTAAAATTTTTCGACGTACTAATATGGATACTATATTACTAATATACGGTACAATATGCATTTCTTATGTAAATTCCACATTTTTCCGTTTAGTCAAGATAGTGGAGGTTTAAAAAATAACGTAATAAGTAACATATAACAACAAACTTACTTTATTGTTAATAAAAATAAAATAAAAACGTTAAACAAAAAAACTTAAATATTTTCTTATTATCTAAAATTCAAATTATTAAACAGTTAATTATTTAATGTGGTATTTGAACTTGTATTTTTTTAATTAATTCATCTATATTGGGATTAATTTCGGAACTAGCCAACAGAAATAGATTTTTTAAATGCATGTCAGTTAATCGTGACCGAGAATTTGATTTTATTATGTTCATAATAGAGAACATTTGCTCACAAACGTACGTTAAACCAAATCTACAACAATATCTAAGAGCTAACTCGTGTAAATTATGAAAATTGTTTGCTGGTACAAATTTCCAAAATTCAATATAATTGGGATCAGTAACAGTTGAAATAATTTCCCTATATTTGGTTTTTAGTATAGTGTGGTTCTGTAAATCAATAATTTCGATCTGTATTTCAGCTGAGTAACAATTGATATCTTGCAGAGAAATAGAAAAAGGATTTATGAAAAGGTCAACATTCATTGTGTCTTTTTGAAAATCTTCAAACCGGGTATTGAATGAACCTAGCAAAAGAGATATAAGGTTTTTAAATCTGTCATAATTTGGAGTTCTACTGACCTTGTTGGCTAATTCCTGCATTAATGTGAAATGTGTCAATCTTTGTTCTCCAACATCGTTACAAAAAAGCATAAGTTTATTCACAAAAGAAGATATATGACCAACTAGAGTAGGAAAAATATAATTTTTTCCCTGTAATCTTAAATTTAATAGATTTAAATGTCTCATAATATCAGTGAGAAAAGCTAAATCCCAAAGCCAAGCTTTATCATTAAGTAACGAGCACTCACTGGGTAGTTCATTGTTTTCTTGCAAATATTTTAAGACGCACTCCTTCAAGTTCCAAAACCTTTCGAGGGCATTTCCTTTGGAGAGCCAGCGCACGCTGCAATAGAGAAGTAACTCTCCATCTTGCTCCGTTTCTTCCGCGAACAGTTCTCGAAATTGTCGTCGATTCAATGCCCGAGCTCGTATTTTGTTAATGCAGCGTGTTACAGGGTCAACAACAGATGACATGTTTAGGTCCTTGGCACAAAGAGCTTCCTGGTGAATAATACAATGGTACTTAAAAACTTTTCTTCCCAAATAGTTTTCCAGTAATGTAACAAACCCCTTTAGTCTACCAACCATGCAAGGAGCTCCATCTGTACAAACACTATCTAATTTTGACCATTCAACTTTGTTGACTTCGATTACGTTTTTAAGCTGTTGAAAAATGTCCTCTCCTGTTGTTGTGACTAGTTGGCGCAAATCCAGAAGCTCTTCGGCATTTTCAAAATTACCATTGGTATAACGGACAAAAATGCTTAACTGCGCATTTTCTGTGTTGTCACAACTTTCATCCAACGCTAAAGAAAAGAATTTGCAGGATTGTAATCCACTTATAATTTGGGAAACAACATCCTGGCCCATATCATCTATACGGTGCATGACTGTATTTCAGGATAATGCAATATTATCGACCATATTTTTGATCTTGACATCTCCCACATTTTTAGCAAATATTGCCAGACTATTTTTAAATATATCCTCTCCATCAGAGTAGGCTTTTTTCTTCCGGGCTAACAGCAGAGAAAGTTCATATGATGTTTTAACCATAGTTTCCATTTCATCACTTCTCTTCTGAAACAGTGACTGTTGGCTGGCTAGGGTTTTTTTTTAATAAAGTCGGCTCGCAAATGTGAACCAATAGGATATTTGTTGCTGAAGTCCTTATGCAGTTGTTTATAATGTCGTTCCAGGTTAAACTTTTTCGGAACTGCTACAGACAATCCACATATCAAACAAACAGGCTTTGAAGTATTACGATTAGTAAATAAAAATTGTTCTTCCCAAGCAGGTTGAAAATCGCGAATTGCAATATCATCTTCGTATTTTCGTTTTGAAGTCGAAGGCTTACTCGTGGACATATCGAACAAATACTTTTAAAGTTTTAAAGAAACAATGTGCGATGACAAAATGTGCACATACAACGGAGCAGTTTAAAATAAACTAAGCAAGGTTAACGCAGTCCTATTGCACAATACGACAGCTAGGATCACGTGCACCAATCGCAGCAATATCGCTCGCCAGAGGATGCAATGATGCCGCATATATCATAACTTCCGTAAATCTACCAAGTTTCTTCTTATTATTTTTTGTTTTTCAAGTTTTAATTTTTTTTAAAGTTTGATTAGTTTGAAAGTCCTATCAGTGGCACGCTACGCGTGCCACTGATAGGACTCAATCGTGCCTTTTTCAAGTTTTAATTTTTTTTAAAGTTTGATTAGTTTGAAAGTCCTATCAGTGGCACGCTACGCGTGCCACTGATAGGACTCAATCGTGCCACAGAGTGGCACGCGTGCCGCGGGTTGGCCATCCCTGTGTTAACAGACAAAAGAGCAGCAACAAACTTAATGAATATGAGAGCTAGGAGGGGAGCAATATGTGGTTTCTTTCTATTATAAGTAAAATTTAGATGCTGTATAAATAGAAAATAGAACATTAGTTGACAAAAAATTCTTGTAAATAAGAACAAAATAAGATGAGAATGACGACTGTATATATCAGAGTTTTTTAAAGATGACAGAAATTTTAATAGCTAATAATACTAAAATTGTACTGACGGCCCAGAAATTAAAAAATTAGAGGTAGAACACACTTTAAAAAATGTTAAATTAAGAAAGTTTCTGGTCCAGATGAGACACCAATAAGTTGCTAAAGCTAATAGATGATGACAACATAAAAATACTAGTAAAATTTTTTAATGAAATATATAACACTAGAGTGATTCCAGCAATCTAGCTTAAGTCTATCTTTGTTTTTCTTTAAGCCCTTCTCTCCATTCGGATTGCCAAATATAGACAACTTCTAATTCTTGATATTCATCTCTGTTGTTTGTAAGAGTTTCCACATTGGTCCTGCAGTTCTTTTAATATTGTCGCACCAGGGCAATCCCCGATTTCGTTATTCCATCGGCTATCCTTAAAACGCCTTAAAACGTCCAGCCCATTTTCATTTCAGTTTAGCTCCTTTTCGACAGCATATTTTACTTTTGTTCTATTATGTCTTCATTGGTCTTTGAGTGAGATACCCAGCATCTGTCGTTCCATAGCTCTCTGAGTTTTCTGATCTTCTCCATGTTTATTTTAGTGAATGTCCAGGTTTGAGCTCCGTATGTAAGTACAGCTAGGATACAGGAATTAAACACTTTGGTTCGCAGTATTTAAGGTATATTTTTATTTTTAAGTACGTATGAGAGTCTTTTGAATGCTACCTAGCCTATGTTTACACGTCTGCTTATTGCGGTAGTCTGATTTTCTTTGCTTACCTTAATATTTTGATCCAGATATATGTATTCATCTACGTGTTCTATCTCTGTCCCCTTGGATGTTTATCATATATTCGTCATTTTTGTTTGACATTAGTTTAGTTTTGCTATAATTCATTTTCAGTCTTTTTTTTAGGGATTCTGTGTGTGGCTCCTAAATTATCGTATTCGGTGAATTCCAAGTATCTTCCGTTAATATGGATTCCCTTATTTTCCCAGTCTATTTACGTAAAGATATCTTCTAGGGTAGCTGTAAATAATTTTGGTGATACTGTGTCTCCTTGTCTTATCCCTCGGTTGATTTTACTGATTTTTCTTCGATTCCAATACCCAACTTTACTATCATTTCAGCTTATTCGTAAATATTACACATTAATAGTCTGTACCTGAAGTCGATCCGGTTGTTGACTAATGCTTCTTCTATTGCTCACAGTTCTACGCTAACAAAAGCTTTGTCATAATCTATAAAAGCCAGACATAATGGGAGATTGTATTCGTTAGTCTTTTCTATTGGGATTTTCAAAGTATATAGAGGGCATGAGAGCTGTATTCTGTATATGTTTTGGCAGTATTTCATTGTTCAGGTATGCTGGCTTGGAATAGACATTTATTAAATAAAATCCACAAGGAAAAAAATTCCTGTAGCTGGCTATATACCACGTATCACAAAAAAGAGGTACAAAGACAAAAATTTACAAATTTACAAAGACTAACCTCTTTTTTATTTATTAAATAGTATTTTTAGATATGTGATGGCTTTTTCTCCGCATTCCCTCAGCATTTCTACTGGGATTCGATCGCTTTCAGGAGCTCTTTTTATTTCTTTTTCTGCTCTTTCTATTTTTTCGCGGCTTATTTCGGACATCACTTCTGAGTTGACATTTGTTACCTGCCTTTTCAAGTTCTGCTTTGAGGAGTTAGGTCGATCGTTTCTGGAACAATACAGATCGGCGTAGAACTTTTTAATTAAGTTTGCTATATCAGATTTACTTTTTGCTAGTTGTCCCTGTTCATTTTTAATAATGGAAAGAGTACATCGAAGAATTATTTCATGACCAGAGAGAAGCTAGTACATCTGTAGATAGCCAAATTGGAGATGTAGGTCCAGAGATAACCAAATCAGAGGTTAGTCAGGCATTAAACTCAATGAAAACCAATAAATCTGCTTGTTTAGATGAATTACCAAGCGAGCTACTAAAGTTGATCAACGAGAAAAACCTGGACATAATAGTAGAACTGTTCAACGCTATCTATACTACGGGAATCATTCCTAGAGAAATGTTGACATCAGCATTTGTGTGTTTGCCAAAGAAAGTGAATGCCAAAGAGTGTAGTGACTATCGAACCATAAGCTTAATGTCACATACCTTGAAAATTCTCTTGAAAATTATCCACGCCAGAATACACTCTAAACTGGAGCTGGATATTAGTGACACTCAATATGGGTTCCGCAATGGTATGAGAGAGGCATTATTCTCCTTCAATGTGCTGACACAGAGATGTTTGGATGTTAACCGTCCTCTTTACGTCTGTTTTATAGACTACAATAAAGCGTTTGATAAAGTAAAACATGATCGACTCCTGGAAATTCTAAAAAATAAAAACCTAGATGAAAGAGATTTAAGGCTAATAACACACCTCTATTACAATCAGCGAGCAATAGTAAGAATCGAAAAAGAAACATCTGAAGAAATGGAAATAAAGAGAGGAGTCAGGCAAGGCTGCATTCTATCACCTCTATTATTTAACGCCTATTCTGAAGAGGTAATTCGAGAAACTCTGGAAGATGAAACAGTCGGCATAAGAGTAAATGGAGTCTTAATTAACAACATCAGATATGCAGATGATACAGTAATAATAGCCGATAGTTTGCAAGACCTGGAAAGACTCATGAGCAAAATAGTCATGTGTAGTAGGGAGTACGGACTCTCTCTTAATGTCAAAAAGACGAAGTTTATGAAAATTTGTAAAAACAACTATAATACTAACGAAATCTTGATAGTAGAGGGCCAGCAGATCGAAAGAGTAAAAAAGTACACTTACCTAGGAACACTAGGTACAAAAAAGGTCCTATGTGGCAAAGATCTAACATTAGCTCTTAAAGTACGCCTAACAAAATGTTACGTATACAGTGTACTATATTATGGAGTGGAATCATGGACGTTAAATCTAGATACCATGAGACGACTTAACGCCTTTGAAATGTGGACCTATAGAAGAATTATGAGGGTTTCCTGGGTAGATAGAGTTACAAACAATGAAATACTGAGAAGAATAGGCAAAGAGAAGGAAATTGAACTTACAATTAAAAAAAGAAAGCTACAGTATCTCGGACATGTGATGCGGGGCGATAAGTATGGCATCCTGCCACTCATAATGCAAGGAAAAATAGATGGCAGAAGAAGCATCGGAAGAAGACGAATTTCATGGCTGAAGAACCTGAGAGAATGGTTTGGATGCAGCTCAAAACAACTATTTAGAGCTACTGCCTCAAAAATTAAGATAGCTATGATGATTGCCAACCTCCATAGCGGAGATGGCACCTGAAGAAGAAGAAGAATTTTTAATGGTTATTACATTTTTCTTTCCTAGTTTCGGTCCTATTGAGACTTCGATTTTTCTCGATGACTTGTTTTATAGATACGATCTTCTTGATGTTTGTTAATGTCCTCTTTTATCTGTTTTCTTATTACTCGATGAAGTTCCTTAAATTCTGCAGTGTCTCTTTTGTTTTGTTTCAGAAGATCATTTCTTTGTTTTAGCATGTTTTGCGATTCTACACTTATTTCAGATTTTCGTTTTCTGTTATCCGACTTCTGATCTTGCATTTAATAGTTCTTTTGTTACGACTTCATTGATTTTATTTAAGGTAAGTTTATTTTGATTTAATACTTTCGCGGGTTTTAACTCGCTTTTATATTGTTTTGTATTAGATTTTAGTTTATCTGTGTCTATATTCCAAGTTTTTCTAAATTGATTTCTATTTTTATTATGTCTTATTTCTAATTAGGCTCTAACCATTCGGTGACCGCTACTTACTGACGCCGTATTTATTACTGTTACATCCTGTATGATATCTGTTTTGTTACACAGTACTTAATAAATTTCGTTCTGAGTTTTTCCGTCTGGACATAGCCAAGTCCACTTTCTTTGAGGTTTTCTTTTATAAAATGTGTTCATTGCGTAGTATTTGTGGGCTTGTAGGAAGTTAACCTAGGTTTTTCCTCTCTTATTTTTGTCGAATTGTCCTATATAGTTTTCGGTTTTTTCAAGTCGTTGTCCAATCCTAGCGTTGAAGTCTCCTATTATCATCGTATACGTGCTGTGAATTCGTGCTAGTTTCTGCACTCTCACGTGCATCTTTGTTGCAATCTCTTAAAAACATAGTGCTATAAAATACTCAGAATATCGTTTAATTAGCCCAATGAGCCACACTCTTGAGATTTTGCTGAGAATACTTCACAATTAAACTCAAATGCGAAGACGATCTCGAAGATAACCAATTTGGTTTTAGAAATAATATGGGAAAAGAGCTAAGATGTATTTGAATGCTTCGCGGACTTCGAAAAGGCATTCAATAAAGTACAGCATGTAAAACTAATACAGATATATTCATGAGTGAGACAAGGTTGCATTTTGTCCCCAACATTGTTCAATGTTGACTCGAACCAGCTATTTAAAAAGGCACTTGAAGGACAGCCATACTAAATCAAAATCAACGGGGAACAATTTAATGTAATTAGATACGCGGACGATACAGAAATTCTGCCAAAAAATGTTGAAGGTCTCTAAATTAAGTTGAAAAAGTTTACAAAATTACATATTTGCGAACTGTCATAACGGACCAACTAGATTCAGAGACAGAAATGAAACGAAGAGAAGCAATTACTAAAACTACTTTTATGAAAATTAAGACATTCATTTGCAATAATCATCTTAGATTAGAACTAAGAGAAAGAATGGTTAAGTGCTATATTTGGTTTGTACTTTTGTATGAAACCGAAGTGTAGACGAAACTTTGCCTCGTATTTACACCTCGTATTTAAGCGTTCGTAATTAAAAAATAAAAACATTTGCAATTTCTTAATATTAATTTCATGGCGGTGTCAATTTGACGACACGTCATCACTTTCGTGACAACTGTGGCACGTCACCAGTTAAGGGTTAATAGAGTGTAGAGTATCCTTAATATATTAGTGAAAAACAAAAACACTCAATACATACGTAACAATATAACAGCATTCTTAGGAGCACATTGTAAATTAACAAATATATTTAATTACTTGAAAAGTATTGATGTTTTAAACAAAATGTAACTGTTAATGTTTTGTAAATCCTATTTATTAATGGTAAAATATGACATGCTTACCTAATTGTAACCAATTAATTAAAAATACTGTTTAGATTTAACTAATCAATAAAATAAAATAAAAAATATATTTACCAGTCTCTTCTCCTACGGATAATGACACGAGAACAAAAAGAGTAACAACAAAAGCAATATTCATTCTGAATATACTTTACAACAATGATTGCACACCTAAGAACGAAGAATATCTTATATATAAAATATTATCAGTAAAATTTTTTTAATATCAGTAAAAATGTTAGGCTTTGACATTATTTACATTAAAGTCTTGATAAATGTTGGAATTACCCATCGTTGACAAGTACATTACTAATTTACTGAGAAGTAAATGTGTTTTAACATATTTCCATATTTTTAATGTATGCTTACCAAGTGTATTATACTACCATATTTGTAGAAGGCTCATTAATATTCAGATCAGTGGGGTGGGGTGATACTGTTTGAGGTGGGAAATTCCGTAAACAAGGGATCATTTTACAAACCAGATAAAAAGATTAAAAAAGGTTTCAAGAGCAAAAAAGTAATCCGTAAGATAATAAATAAGAAGCATACTAGTATACCAGAAAAAACACAAGCGGTTGTCTTTAAAAAGAGAAGAGATAACCTAGAAGAACAACTAACAGTTCAAGACTGATCTAACTACCTATGAGTCACAGTGGACTAAGGTCTAACATGCATATGATGCATGTTAGACCTTATACTACATGTTAACGTGACAGTCCAGATAACAATAACGGCCAAATCAGCAAGAGGACTCACAGAAAGAAGAAGCAAATTAGTTATGAAAACATAACTAATAACATAACATCAACATAACACGCTGTGAATAACATTATCTTATCAACATAACATAACATGCCAAAACAGCAAGTTATCTCATTTCGGGAAATGCTAATATTTAGTTTAATCAATTACAGCTCGATGCCTGAACCTATTACTACTGTAAAGCATATGCTTGTTGCAGTTGATGCCAAAACTACAAACAATAAGAAGAGAAAACCTTGTAACCAACGTTAAACTGAAACAGTTCTTTATTTATTTATATATTTATTATAAAACATTATTAGTAATAACTCAAGAAAAATTTATACAAAAAACACAGTTTTTCAATAAAATAATTTTATTAATAAACCAATATCAAGATATTTATTCACCAAATTAACAATTTTGAACGCATTCTCCCTTGGCGTTTCTATATGGAGTCTCAGGAGAACATCTGCAATAGTGTATGCATATCCTAGGGCATGTGTTTGTACATAGTTTTCCCAATTTATTTTCACAGGTAGGCTCTTCATGGGGACAGCAGGGCTGGCATCCGGGGTACTCGTTTGGTCCACATTTCTCTAAAAATATTGATATGATTGATAATTAATATATTTTTTACTTTAAGGCAATCAGCCGAAACAGCTGTAGTGATAATAATTAAAATAAATTTTGTGGAAGTTTGAAAACAAAGTTTTCAGTGTTTTATTGTTACATAAAATGAATTTCCATCAAGTAACGGTCGAATCCATCAATTATAAATCAAATAATCCACAATATAAGAAAACTACATGGATACCACACGGAGCCCATAAAATCACGATACTATGCTATGCCGATGATGGAGTACTAATTACTGATAACGAAGATGACCTACAAAGGCAGCTCCACACCTTCAATATCACAGCAAACAAACTTAATATGACAATATTAGTAGAAAAAACTAAATGTATAGTGATCAGTAAAGAGCCGCGTAGATGCCAACTAGAAATAGACAGCAAAATTGTAGAACAAATAATGAAATTCAATTACCTAGGAGTAGAGATCACTAGTGACAGGGATATAAGAACAGAGACCACAAGGCAAGCATTAAAAGCGGCAAGAGCAAGTGGTTGCCTCCGAGAAACCATATTAAGGAACGAATATCTGACCACGGAAAGCAAAATAAAAATATACAAACAGTAAGACCAATCCTAACATATGCAGCGGAGACAAGGACCGATACAAGAAAGACGAAACAACACATCAACAATATCGAAATAAAAGCATTAAGATCAATAGCGGGCATATCATTAAGAGACAGGCAAACCAACAGAACTATACACGCTAACAATGCAAAATTCAAAATATTAACAGGTGGATAAAAACAAGAAAAACGAACTGAAACGAATATGTAAACCGAATGGGACCAGATAGATTAGCGATCTGTAAAAACAAACAAGCCATATAGCAGAAGACCTGTTGGAAGGCCGCCAAAAAGGTGGAAAGATAATGTACAGTCAACAACGACTAAAACAGAATAAGAGGCAGACAAACAGAAGTAATCTTTTTAATTAAAAATCCTTTGTAATAGGTATATATTTAAGGCCCAAACGGGCTAAGTTAAAAAGACAAAACGTTTTCGGAAACCATGTTCCATCATCAGTGTCTAGGAGTACATGAATGTAGCCACCAAGATTAAATATATGGGTAAAAACCCGTTAACAGATGTTTAATTACATTTAGTTTTAAAATTATGTTATAATGATTTACGATTATTGAGTTACCGATGGATTAGGTAACATGGCGACATATGACTCCACGTTGAAGTTGCTAGTCCTGAGACGGTATGTCTTCGAGGACTGTATGAGTGCAACTACAGTCCTCTGGCCCAACTTGGCACGAATGCAGCTCGTTTTCTTAGTCAGAATATATCCTCAGAAAACACTACATTCTTAAAATTAGGCCTTAGAAATAAGTGGAAAATTTTCAAAACTCCACCACTCCCAAACTTATCTAGAAGTTCTAAATAAGTTTGGGAGTGGTGAAGTTAAAAGTAATGAATTTAAAGTAAAGTTAAGTTAAGTTAAGTTAAAGTAAAGTTAAAGTAATAATTAAAAGTAGTTAAAAATAAGTTTTCTGCAGAGACAGGGGAAACTGTGTTGTATCTATAGCTGATAAAAGAGGACCTCAAATACTCTGCAGAGATTAAACACATTTTTGGTGAAAATAATTCTTTGAAAAACCATCTATAATATAACTTTAATGTTATTTTATTGTAATTTGGCCAGAAAATAGTTATAGGGTCTAAAATGAGAATCTGAACGATGAAATACGAAAATTAAGAACTGATGATGAGAACTTCTGCACAAATAACGAACTTAAAATAAACAACACACATTTTTTTACTACAAAGACCAACACATATATACATTTAATGACACCCATTTAATGAGAACACCCGTGGACAACGATCTATGATAGATTATGTTATACCCAACAGAGATATACAACCATCGAAAACAATAGACGTAAGATGCCTTAATTCAGTACATCATAGCCTAGTATTATGTAAAATAAGAATCAAAACAAAACAAGTCGAAGGACTAAATGCGAAATCAACGGAATACTTACAAAGAAAAAGAATATCAGGGAAGATCGCTGGGAATAAAATATTAGATCACGATAATATTGAGAAAATCAGGGGAAAAGCTTAAAAACAACATAATTAACACAGCAACAGAATCACTTGGTAAGATGAAAGTAACAAACACTAACATACCAAAAAAGAAAACACCATGATTTAGAGAGGAAGTGAAGTCAAATTTAAAGAAAAGAAGGAAGCCTTTTTACAATACAGAACACAACAACACAACAGGCATACAACCACTATAAACGAATAAGAAATGAAACGAATGCTTTCGAATGCTTAAGTTAGACAAAAAAAGGGAACAATGGAAGAGCTCCTCAAAACAGATGGAACAAAACTTCTACGAAACACAAAAGGAAATATGGGGAATGATCCGAGAAAAAAGAAAAGAGATGAACGAACTAATAAAAACGAAACAAATTCAGATGGAAACATGGGTGGACCACTTTCGATCTCTATTTGCTAAAGGTAACGATAATGAACCACTAACACCAGAGGTGATGACATACGAAGAAATAACTATTGAGGGTGAAGATGTAAAGGGAGCTTTAAATGAATTAAAAAATAGAAAATCACCAGATTACAGAATATCTAACGAACTCCTAAAGTAGGGAGGACCAGATCTGATCAAACAACTATTAAAATTAATCCAAAAAATAATAGAACAAAACAGAATTTCTTAAGAATGTGGATCAAACTTCCTAATACCCTCTTTAAAAAGGGAAACCAAGCGGAAAATTACAGAGGAATTAATTTTATAAACAGAACACTAAAAGTAACAACCAAACTAATAACAAATAAACTTAATGAAATTATAACACCAGCAGAAGAACAACAAGGTTTCAAACATAACCGGGAAGATTATGCACCTACGCTATATTTATAATGAGTCAAGTGCAAGAATAATCATAAGAATACAAAAAAACCGGCATATCTATGTTTCTGGGACCTTAAGAAGGCATTTGACTGGGTCAAATTGAAGGACGTTATCCACTTATTGTAAGCAAGAGTGTAGCAATATTTTAGAATTAATGATGGAAAGTCAGCAACTGATCTGTTTGCTACATATGCTAGCGGCAGCTGTTCATCGGCGAGCAATGGTCGTAGATACTGTTGCTTTAGTTTATAAAAAAAATGTTAAAATTAAAAGTGAAATTTGAATTTAAATTTAATGTGTGGAAATTGAATTATAAAATAGTCGTGCCCAGAGCGCCACTTTATTTATACAGTTAAGTAATACTTCACCAAACAAAGAAAAATGAAGACTGCGATTAAATGATTTAACTCTTACTTACCAAAAAAAAACTAATATTACCAAAATTGCAAAATTGTAGACTCCAAAATCAAAACACAGATTCAACTAACAAAAGCTTGTTTTATTTTATTTTAATTAAATAGAAATTTAACAAATTATTGAAAAATAGCAAATATTTAAATGAGCCGTAAGTTAAGTACATAAAAAAATAATAGTCAATATGACATTGCAAAGTGACCTTCAGATTGAAAGTTTAAAAAAATAACATTTTATAAATGTACTTAGTAATTGGAAAATCATATTAATATTTAAACAATTAAATATATATACCTAACTATGTGAGTTAGTGGTATAGTATTAAAAAAATTATAACTCAATACTTTGATTCTTGAAAAAAAATTATATTATACCTAGTACCTTTTATAGCTATAAGGTTTACACTTTATTGAAATATTTTATTAAAAATACTTAAAGAAAAAATATTTAAGCCACTATTTGCGGTATATCATAAAACAAAATAACTTTCTGTAAGATATTATCTTTTAAAAAAAAATAAAAAATTGCAAAAAAAAACCTGTTCTCAAGCCTACTATTCCCAAAGCAGCTTAGGTGGTAGAGGTTGATTTGGAGAAGTTTGAAGGAGTCCTGGAGGCAATTTAAAGTTGGAGCAGAGAACAATGGCTCGAACACGAACACATGGCCATGCTTTCAGGAAGCAAAAATCGAGAAGTCTTCTTGGGATTGAAGTGATGTTGGTGGTAACTAACTGATTTTTCCACAGCCCTATTATCGCCGACAAATTGGAGGCATCAGGGACTGTAACTGGTGGTTGGACCCACGTGTGGTTGCACAGGATTCAGGAGCAGAATAAGTTACCCCGAAAATGGTAATTCCTCGAAAAGGAATAGGCTTCCAGCCTCTCGAAATTTAGGGGACACAAGGCAACTAAACCCGACAAAAATGCCAAAGCCTTTTCATTTCGGCCATGGCTTAATATAAAGCCAAAAATTTTTCCAAAAATAGGAAGTGATCATTTTATGACTAATCTCAGAGAAAACCAGAAGACCAATCTCATAGAGAAAAATTCCCTAGGTTAATTAACAGTCTATGGTAAATTTGGGCCTTAGAACAACGACTTTCTTGAAAAACCGCCTAAATTATAAGCAGACAATCATAGATTCTCGAACAGTGAGACGACCTTACTCGAAGCAATAAACCGAAGACAACAGGTGTTTAACTTCAGATCGATACATTTGTTGACATTTTTCACAAAGTCAAAACAGCTGACCGAGAAGAATAAAACAATTTAACTTTTCGTTGAAAATTAATAATTATGTACACCTTCCACAAAATAGAGAGGCAGAAAGGTAAGTCATTTATTACATGATATTCGACATTACATAATTAACATTAACTTTATTTTCAGATTGGTGAAGATGGATTATATTTTGTTACTAAAAATCAAATTTCAACTACCAGAACCCAGAAACTAGAAGTTTAATCTATAAAATTAAATATATACTTCCATCCATATCTGTACACTAGTTATTTAAATGAATAAAGTATGTTCATGACTACTTAATATTTATTGTGTTTATAGTAAAAACCAGGTAAGCAATTTTTAACTGCTACAAGAGAGATGCCTTTAGGTATAATCAAAACGATCGAAAATATTTATAAAAACGATACAATAAAAGTAAAAGTGGAAAAAGACCTAACCGATTCTATTGAAGCAGACAATAGGATAAGACAGAGATCTTCCCTGAGTCCTCTATTGTTCAACGCGATTATGGATAAAACAATAAAAAGTATACCAAATGAAAGGAAAAAGATGTAAATTGGAGCTGGAAGGTCAGTTAATAAAACAAGTGATGGAGTTTACATATCTGGGTATCATATTATCTAGCTACGGAAATCTCGAAACTGAAGTGAAAGATCCAGTGAATAGACTAAATAAAGCCACAGGTTGTCTGAAATAATATTGGTAAATAAAAATTTTGGAGAAGACCTAAAATCCGCATGGAATCTACGTTCCTGTAGTTGGCTGTATACCATGTATTAAAAATTTAATTAAAAAATCCTTTGTAATAGGTATATATTTTAGGCCCAAACGGGCTAGGTTAAAAAGACAAAACGTTTTCGGAAACCATGTTCCATCATCAGTGTCTAGGAGTACATGAATGTAGCCACCAAGATTAAATATATGGGTAAAAACCCGATAACAGATGTTTAATTACATTTAGTTTTGCACTCATATAGTCCTCGAAGACATACCGTCTCAGGACTAGCAACTTCAACGTGGAGTCATATGTCGCCATGTTACCTAATCCATCGGTAACTCTATAATCTTAAATCATTATAACATAATTTTAAAACTGAATGTAGTTTAACATCTGTTATCGGGTTTTTACCCATATATTTAATCTTGGTGGCTAGATTCATGTACTCCTAGATACTGATGATGGAACATGGTTTCCGAAAACGTTTTGTCTTTTTAACCTAGCCCGTTTGGGCCTAAAATATATACCTATTACAAAGGATTTTTAATTAAAAGACATAAAAGGCCTAATTTACAAAACACTCATCAGGCCGATAATGACATACGCTTTAGAAATAAGACCTGACACATAGAGGATAAAACGGATGTTAGAAAGAGCAGTGATGAAAACACTTAGAAAAATAAGCAAAACACTATGGGACAGAGCTAGAAGTAACAAGAGGCCATAAAAAATATTTGCATTTCATCATACAAGGAAATATTCAACGTAAACCTAGTTCTAGCAGAAGAAAAACATCATGGTTTAAAAAACTTAAGACATTGGTACGGAAAATCGACTACATTCATAATTAAAGCTACTGCCAATAGGCCAATACGGTTGTGATAGCAAATCTGGTAGCAAATATGATATCCAACGATCGATGATACAACGTTTGATAATATTTTAGGTCACAAATTTTACATTTAATACAGTGTTCTTTAATTTTTTGGAATAATTACATTCAACTTTCAACATTTAACATTCATTAAACTAGCCAGAAACAAATTACATAAAGAATGTGGCCACAATACCATAATGGAATTACAGCAGCTTATAAAAGAAATATGGACACAGAAATCTCTCCCTAATGATTGAAATATTGGAATAGTTTGCACCATACACAAAATAAGAGATATCTTTGAATGCTCCAATCACAGAGGAGTTATACTTCTAAATGCAGCGTATAAAATATTTTTCACAGTACTATATCACCTATATGCAGAACGGATAGAAGAAAAATACCAGACTGGTTTCAGAGATGGTTAATCGACAATTCATCAGACTGCAACCCTGAAACAATTTTTGGAAAAACACTGGAATTTGGCTTCCATACACATCACATATAGACTACAAAGCAGCCTACGACTTTGTGAATAGAAAAGAATTGTTCTAAGCAATGAAAGAGCTAGGTTTACCAAATCAATTGGCAAATTTAACAAAACTTATTCTTGAAAAAGTTGAATCTACGAATTCATGGGGAACTGTCTGAACCTTTTAAAACAAATAAAGGGTTGCGTCAGGGAGATCCTCTCTCCTGATTAGTGTTCAATCTGACTTTGGAAAAAGTAATACGTATGTCACAAATCACAATCACTGGTTCAATATATAATAAATCAGTGCAAATCCTGTCCTATGCTGAGGATATCAATATTGTTGGGGGAACGAAAAACGCTGTAAGAGAGTAGCATTAAAAGAATCAGCTACAAAAATGGGTTTAATAATAAACACCAACAAAATGAAGTATATGAAAATAACCACGCAATCACAAGTACTACGACCACTTGTTATAGAAATCGAGTGGTCGCAGGATTTGGGGTCGAAGCTGTGAAGGAATTTGTATACCTGAATATCGATAACATCCATGAGGTCATAAGAAATATGGGAATACGTCCTTTTCGAAGGAAGGCGATGACTATGGATGACGAGAGAAATTCTTGAGTAGGCTACGACCCAGGGTTTTAAAGCTACAATAATGATGTCATTCAACTTTGTTTTATTCATTTGTCTGAGGTGGCGCTACATTCGTAGTTATATTTACTAAAAAAAAATGTGCAAAAAAACGCAAATTTTGAATAAACCAACTTTATTAGTAAATCCAGCTTTAATTCACATTTTATATTGAGGTAGCTATTAAATAAATTAACAATCTTGAACGCATTGTCCCTTAGCGTCCCTATAGTAACCAGGTGAACATCTACAAGACCGTATACAAATCCTAGGGCATTTGTTCATACATAATTGTCCCGATTTATTTTCACAAGTAGGCTCTTGTTCAGGACAACAAGGTTTGCATCCGAACTGTTCATTTAGACCACATTCCTCTAAAATTAAATGATAGAAGATAAATATATTTTTAGTTTAATGTAAATAATATAGTCAAACATATGACTAAAAGATTTGATACTGGAGAGTAATAACAAATCTGTACAGAATCAATTTTTCAATAACTTTTATTTTACAAGTCGACATCTCGCACACCGATTTTATAGATCTCTTTTTCACTTATTTTTCTACTATTTCGTCACGTTGACCAAGGTGGCGGTCAGGGCAGGGTTGGGCTAAGAATCATCGGAAGAGATAATCATAATTAACGTATATACGTGCCTAAAACGTACAAACTTTATCAACAGAAGTATCAATGATATAACTGGAGCAAGAACTAAAACCGATTAACTGAGATATAGTCGGTATAAGTGAAGTTAGGCGTCCAAAGACTAAATATTACTTAACTCTGGAAATATGTGCCATTTCAGAGGAAATAAAGAGTCAGGAGCTGGTTTTTTAACCCATAAAATTGCACCAAATACAATTCCAATATAAGTGTATGTACCGGAGTAATTTATATTATTAAATTAAATTCAAGATACTAACTTAAAATTTTTATTATTATTTTTTTAATTTTAAAAACAAGGGACGCGTTTTGCGAACAATTACAACAAATAGTAGATCAAGTCAGGGGATAGATGATAATATAGGGGGATTTTAACGCTCTAATAGGCAATCAAGTAATGCCCGCCATTGGGGTAAGACAGGGAGATTGATTGAGTCCTCTATTGTTTAACCATATTATGGACGAAATAATAAAAAAAGTAAGAAGTAAAAAAGGATACCAAATGGAAAAAAACAACTTAAAATGATCTGCTGCGCAAACGACGCAATACTACTCTCCCAAAGTGAAGATAAAAATTTAACATGTTAATTTCCCCAAAAAAGACAAAATGCATGGTAACGACAACATATTTACTAAGATGTAAATTGGAGCTGAAGAAATGAAGAACAATAGATCGCCTGGTGATGATGGACTCGTTATCGAGGCAATAAAAGCAGGAGGAGAAATTTTATTAAAATCAGTAAGCGAACTGTTTAATAAAAGCTTACATGCGGTTAGATTCCAAAAGACTGAATAATGCACTAATAGTCTTGTTACACAAAAAAGGCGATATTACTAAATTAGAAATTTATAGACCCAACAGCCTCTTGACACATATGTACAAACTCTTTATGAAAATCTTAACAAAGAGGCTAACACCTAAACTTGATTTCTATCAGCCCAAAGAACTGGCAGGCTTCAGGGCAGGATATGGCACTAATGACTATTTGCATACCATAAAGATCTTAATAGAAAAGTGCATCGAGTACAACATATCACTGGTTCTTGCATTTGTCGATTACGAGAAGGCTTTTGATTCTGTAGAGTTTGAAACAATACTGGAAGCCCTAAATCAAAGCCGAAAAGATTACAGATACACGACACTAATCAAAAACATCTACGAGAACGCTACACCAAGTATACGACTACACGAAGACACAGAAAAATTCGACTTAGGTCGAGGAGTTAGACAAGGAGACAATATTTCACCAAAGTTGTTCACGGCAGCTCTAGGGTCAATATTAAAGAGCACTCAATGGCAAGATACGGGCATCAATATAGATGGAGAAAGATTTAATAATCTAAGGTTTGTAGATAATGTTGTATTAATCGCAGATAACTTACATGTTACAGTTTCGAAGATGCATTCTCTTAAAAGTCTGTTTCAAAGAGCAGGATTAAAGAGAAACTTTGAGAAAACTAAACTTATAACAAATCTCGTAATGGATGGAAATATAATTATTGACAATAATACCATACAACAAACAGACAACTTGGAGCTGGAAGATCAGATCATAGAACAAGTGTTCTCGTAAACAAACGAAAGTCAGAATTTACAAAACAGTTATCAGAGCAATAATGACATGCGCGGCAGAAACAAGACCTGATACAGAGAGGACAAAAAGGATGTTAGAAACAGAAAAGATGAAAACACTTGATGGTAAGACACTATGGGACAGAGTTAGAAGTGCAGATATACGACGTAGATGCAAGGCGGAGAACATCAAGAACTGGGTAAGAAATAGAGGAGTAGGTAGAAATTCAGTAGAAAGACCACGAAAACGATGGAACGACAATGGGGGCACATTAAAAAACAGACAGAGTAATGTCTATATAAAAAGAAGAAGAAAAAGAAGAACTTAAAATTACACAGGCTTACGCACCAACTTCGAGCCACTCAGATGAGAAAGTTGATCAATTTTATACAGATATCAGAACAGCTATACAAACTTCAAAAACCCATTATACAATGATAATTAGAGATTTCAATGCCACAAGGTGGGGCGTAATCTGCTGTAGGAAACTTTGAATTTGGTGAGAGCAGTGGGAAAGGTAACAGGCTTTTTGACTTCTTACATCGGCAGAATTTCTTGGTGACGAACTTATTCTTTAGAAAGAAACGTAAAGGTAAATATATATTTAATATAATAAATGTGTTATAAACATTTAAATAAATAAATAAATAAATAATATGCATGATAATTTAATAAAACCGTCAATAACAGCCTTTCGTTTTAAAACAAATTGATTTTTCAACATGGATGTTGCAGCTAATGTTGGTGGATTTGTCTGATATAACAAATATGCAGTATAAAGAAAAACTCGCAGAATTGTAAAATGATGAATCAGTTAAAACTTTATCTAATACAAAAGTAGCGAGGCCATGTGAAGTGCGGTAAATGATTTACTGGTAAAATATCAAATCGGCTGGATATAACGTGGAGACTGAAGCTAACGAAAGTGGAATCTAATATAAAATCTATGTGCAGCAAACATCAAATGCAAGGATCTAATTACATTAAAATAATAAATTAATATAAAACAAATCTTTAGTAAAATTATTTGGAATTTTAATTTCCGTTTCTTAGACATTTTTTCCTAAAACCTATCATTTAAGTTTATTAAATGAACAATTTATTTTTTTAATATTAAAATTGTGTATGTAAATGGGGGGTTACACAAATTTTAGAAAGGCTAAAGTGGGACATGGCATTAAAATATTGGGAAACACTGCACTAAGCTCTAGGATAAATTAGTATAAATTTTACAATAATTGCATCACCGCCAAAAAATACAAAACGGGGCTCTGGGCCAACTACAACCAAAGAAAAAGAACCATTGTCACCTGTTAGAGAACAAAAGGTTGAAATCTACCAGTAAACCAATATACTGGCCTTTCGATACGAACAAAATTCCAGACCTGATAGATTTATTTATTTACAAAAATATCTCTGAGTGACACCGTTCTCAAAAAAGTGTTCAATCCAATATTGACTAATAAAAACTTAGTGAGAGAGCTTCGAAATAAACCTTGAACACAAAATGAACCTTTATATGCCATTAAGAAACACGAAGCATCTTAATGACAGAAATAAAAGTATTTATAAACATATGAAATAAGTAGCTTGGAAAAATACTCCCACAATAACTTCTAGAACAAAAGGGAACAACTATCCAAAAACAATCAGAGAACTTATAGTAGAAAGTTAAGAACAAATTGGCAGCAATACAGAGCTCCACGAGACAAAACTAGTCCAAATAATGCAACACGAGAACTGAAAAGGGTAATACAGAATATAAAAAATTCAACAATTGATTCCTTTTTAAGTAAATTTACAGCTAACCAGAACACAGATTATTGGTTATGGAACTTAACAAAAAAAAATTAAGAGACCAATTATTCATTATTCTCCTATTAAGTTGGAAAACGGCAACTAGGCTATAAGTAACGAACAGAAGGCAGAACTATTTGCAGATCATTTAGAAAGCACGTTCAAACCCAACGACAAATATTGTGAAGAACTGAGATGGGAAGAACCATTCCAAACCGAAAAAAGAATAACGTTGACATCATTTAGAGAATTATTAACAGATATAAAAAAAATATAAATCCGAAGAAAGCTCCAGGATCTTATAACAGGAGAACTATTAAAAAATCTAGGAAGAAAGATTCACCTAATACTGCTGTTTTTAGATTAAGATATGTTCCCAGACTCTGGAAAGTAGCCGAAGTTATTATGGTAAACCAGGCAAACCTCCTAATGAAGTAACATCCTATTGACCAATATCACTCCTTCTGGTGATATCAAAATAATTTGAAAAACTTCTATTGTAAATATTAAAACCAATAATAGAAAGACAACATCTTATACATCATCAATTTAGTTTCAGAAATAAGCATTCCACCGTAGACCAAGTTCACACAATAACGAATATAATAGAAAAAACTTAAGAAGAAAAGAAAAGCTGCTCTACAGTCTTCTTCGACTTAGCACAGGCGTTTGATAAAGTCTGGCGTAAGGGTTTAAACTATAAAAAAAAGGTTCATGCCTAAACAGCATTCAGAAATCTTAGAGTCATACATTACAAATAGATATTTCAGAGTAAACCAAAAAGAAGTTTACACCGATTTAAAAGAGATCAAAGCTGGCGTGCCACAAGGGGGTGTATTAGGTCCGGTCCTGCACCTCTTGTATACGTGTGACATTCCAGAGCTAGAACAAAACCCTATTAACACCTTCGCGGATGATACAGACATACTAGCGATAGGAGACACTAGTGAAGAAGCTACTGACAAGTTGCAACTATCAGTAAATACAATAAATACCTGGACCAGAAAATGGCGAATAAAATCAAATGAGACTAAATCTGCACACATTAACTTTACAAATAAAAAAAGAAAATTTCATATTCAAAATAAATAATACCCAAGTTTCTTATGCAACGTCAGCAAAATACTTTGCATCTAGACGCGAGGCTGCGCTGAAAATTCCATGTCAAAAAAAAAGAGGAGAGCTTCATATTAAATATAAAAAAATATATTGCCTGATTCGAAAAAATTGTGCTAACTCTTAGGCTGTAGCAAAGTTAGTAATCTACATATTATCAAGACATTTCAAAACAAAGTACTGAGGAAGATTGTTGATGCTCCATGGTATATCCATAACAGCAACCTCCACGAGGACCTGTGTATGAAAACTATAATCGAAGTAATCAAAAACAGCAGCAAGTAACGAGCAGAGGCTACATAGTCATGTAAATGGCGAGACAATCCAGCTTCTTGGCAACACTGAACTAAAGAGCAGACTCATAAGGACAAAACCATTTGAGTGAGTTTAAATGTGTAACAGTTTAGTGTAAAAAGCAGAGCATAATGCTGTGATGTTATTGCATGTTAGTTGTAGGGCATTAGTTGAAAGATAAAATAAGAGGAAGCCATAAAGTAAGCCCCCTGATTTAAGTATTGGCTGTTTATTAAGTTAGGTAAGAAAATAATTGATAATTGATCATTTGTCACCAAATAGCAGTATACAAACACTGTACAGGTGTTTACAGAAAAAAAAACAAAACATATTTAATATAACTTCTGCAGTCACTTTTTGAAAAGGTTTAACAAAAGCATTTAAACATATTTTAATTTTACAGTTAGTTTTTGATATCATTTTATATTTTCTAACTGATTCTAACACTAATATAAAAATTAATAATAAAAAATAAATAGAGACAAACGCAATATAAGTACACAAATTTGACGTGTTAACCTAAACATATTTTTTATTTTTTGTACATCTGGCTGTGTTTCAACCAATCACAATCAAGTAGGAAACCTAAATCCAATTCAGTCTCTTCTAAGAAACACTTGTGTTATAAAATGCAACATAGAAAATATGAAAAATATAAGAAAAATATATTTACCTTCAGCAAAAATCTGGGCTACAACTACAGCCCAAACACAAATAATGAAAATAGCCTTCATCTTCAACTTGCTATTCCGAACGTGTTTTTCTTTTTAAATAGTTTTGTTAGAACTTCCATTCTTATATAAATGTCTTCGAAATTATTTGTATTAAGCTTAATGCAATATTTATTAGTTTACTAATTACAGAAGGATTTGTTTAATCGGTACTTTACGAACAAGAATTGTTTAGAATGATGATTTATTAATGCTTCATTAAAAGACTCTTAGTAGAAAGTTTACGTTTACTATTCTTTGGCGTCATTATACTCAACAAAATTGTATATATATATAATATTATATATATATATATATATATATATATATATATATTATATATATATATATAATATATATATATGATATTATTAATATATTATATATATATATATACATATACATATATATATATATATATATATATATATATATATATATATATATATATATATATAAGAAAAAAGAAGTACTTGTGACTTGTTTGAAAAAAATATGAAACTGTTTTGGATGGGTTGGAGTCAATAAAAGGGGCTATTTGTTAACTATTTTTTACTCGAGCTTTCAATTGTGATTACAATTATTATCAAGAGCTTCTAAAAAATACAAAATATCTTACAAAGTTGAACTAGAAATAAAAAATTTTTTGTTAACTCACCAAATAAAATTAGTTTTTTATATAAAACTGCTGCTAACATATTAATTACAAAAAATATTATTCAAAAAATGTTCTATTCTAATAAATGTTTCTCTGAAATAAATTTTGATAAATTTTCTTAACAAAAACAATTGAATTTGTAAACAAAAATTGAATAGCTACAAACCAACCTCAATGTCATAAATATCAACTTAAAAATTTTTATTTTTGACATATTGTCAAAAATAAAATTTTGTTTAAAAAATTCTTCTTTGTTTAGTAACAAAAAAGAAGAGATTTATTCACCATTGATAGATGCCTGAAAAAATATAACAAATACATGGAAAATTCAAAGTGTAATATTTTACTGATTGCATATATAAATTACATAGAAATAATATAATTATAAATTTTGCTTAGATTTTGAATTTCTGACCTTTTGTTTAAATTATTATCACTTTTACTAATACAAACCATTTCCAAAAAAGTTCGTTTAAATTTATTACTTTTACTACATAAAATTTTAATATTATCAAAATCCATAATATGGTCTTTGTCTATTACATGCTCTGCCAAAGCACAAGATGGTTTCTTAATTCTGCAATCACTCTTGTGAGAAATAATGTGATTTGAGAGATTTCTTCCAGTCTCACCAATATACTCAGCTTCACACAGAGTACAACCAATGCTGTATACTATATTTGTTTGATCTAATTTGTCTATAGGATATTTAGTTTTGGAATATAAAGATGAAATGGTTTTGATGTTCTTTGTTATTATTTTTATATTGTTAATAACCTTTACTGTTTGTATTGATTTAGGAGTTAATGATGGTATAAAAGGTAGTGAATGATAATATATGTTCTGATTGTTGGATACAGTGTTTTGAGATTTATCAAAAAACGGTGTTATTTATATTTAATAAATTAGAAAAAAGCATCCTATGTAGCATATCTGGAGGATAAGAGTTTTCAATTAAAATATTTTTTAACAAATGAAGATCTTCTTGTAGATAGTCTGGATGAGAAAGTTTTAAAACACGTTCTTTTAATCCTGTTATAAGGTTCATTTTCATCTTATTTAAATGATGAGAGTAATAGCTTATAAATCTATTACTACATATGGGTTTTCTGAACCATCTGGTTTTCAACATGTTGTCTGTATTTCTTACAATTCTCATGTCAAGGAATGGTAGCGAATTATCTACCTCTTCCTCAAGGAGTCCTGTTTGTACTTTACAACAAAAAGAGAGCACTTGAACCTACTTGAACACAATAATAAATCGCCAGGAAAAGACGGGGTGACTGTAGAAATGCTAAAATATGGTGAGGAAACAACTAGAGAAGTTTTGTACATACTTATGAATAAAATACTAATGACAAAAAAAATACCCAACAGTTGAAACGAAGCAATAACACTGTTACTATTTAAGAAAGGAGATAAAAAGGATCTAAAGAATTACAGACCCATAACTTTACTAAATGTAATGTACAAACTATTAACCAAAATATTAACAAATAGATTAACAACTAAATTAGATGGATACCAGGCAAGAGAACAAACCGGATTTAGAAAGAGCTTCAGTACAAGTGACCATCTTTTAACGATGAAGATTTTAATCAAAAAAACTAACGAATATCATATCTCGCTATACATGGCATTTATTGACTTCGAGAAGGCATTTGATAGTGTGGAACACTGGGCAATACAGAATTCCCTACAAAACAAGAGAATAGACTACCGATATACCGACTTAATTACAAATATATACAACAAGGCAACAACAACTATTAAGCTAATGAAACAAACGGAGCCTATTAAAATAAACCAAAAGTAAGACAAGGAGATACCATCTCGCCCAAGCTATTCAACCAAGCGCTAGAAGATGTTTTCAAACGACTACACTGGGATGGCTTGAAAATTAACATAAACGGGCAAAATCTTAATCATTTACGATATGCTGATGATATTGTATTAATAACAGAAAAAAGTGAAGAATTACAAAGAATGATGAACGAACTAGATAGAGAATCGACAAAAATGACTCAAGATAATTTACAATAAAACAAAAACCATGACTAATCAACCAGAAGAACTAATAATTACAGTGGCACAAAGAAGAATAGAACAAGTAAAAGAGTATATATATATATATATATATATATATATATATATATATATATATATATATATATAATCTAATGTATATATGATATATATATATATATATATATATATATATATATATATATATATATATATATCACTAAATTAAATAAAGAGAATCAGACCGAAGAAATAAAGAGAAGAATAAGATTGGCCTGGGCATTATTCGGAAAATTGTCTTATATTCTAAAGAATTCAAAATACTCCCAATACCTAAAAACGAGAGTCTTCAATCAATGTATACTCCCTGTCCTCACATATGGCTCTCAGACATAGACGTTTACAAAAGAAAATATGGAAAAAATAGCAAAGACAGAAAGATCCATGGAAAAACAAATGCTGAACATTAAACTATCAGACAGAAAATAGAAAAGAATGGATCCGTAATAAAACAAAAGTGAAAGATGTCTTAACCCAAGTAGCAAAGCTTAAGTGGAAGTTCGCCGGACACACCCTAAGGCAGAAAGATGAAAAATGGACTAAGACAATTATACATTGGAGACCATGGAATCACAAATGAAAAATGGGAAGGCCGCAAATGCGATGGTCAGATGACCCGAAGAAACACGCCGGGTCAAAATGGATGCAAATTGTCCAAAATAGAGGGGCATGGAAGAAGCAGGAGGAGGCCTATATCCAAGGATGGATGTTTAGGGCTGTATAGATAGAACACTTGAACCTGGGTCCTAAACACCAGAATATTCTTTATTATTTAGGAATACTTTTAATTAAATTAATGGCAGCAAATCTAGTTTTTATAATAAGTTACTATTTCATTTAAGGTCTCCTGTAAAGCAATATTATTATATTGCTTGAAGTCTGTTATAAGTACTCATTTTGATAAATCACATCTGTATCAAATTAAATTTTCTCCAAATGATCTTCTAATGAAATAGTACATGTTCTAAAGGAGCCTCTGGTTTTCATAGATGCTAATATATTTTTCACCTTTTTCAGATTAAATAGTTCAGAATGATCATTTGGAAGTTGCTTTTTATGGGGCATTTCATAATAATAACCTGTTGGCTGCATTCACTTAAAACTATATACATTTTTTATTATCGGTACTACTTACTTCGATAGCTATGCAAATTCTTATTGATGTAATGTCCATTGCCAAGTATATTTAATTAACTATTGATAATCACTATCGATTGATCAGCTTAAGTTCTTGATTTATAAGTATAATATTATACCCTTCTTCTTGCGAAGAGATAACAGTTTGAATTCATCTAAAATGAGTTTATTCTGATATAAAATATCATATAAAATAACAAAACATAACTTTAAAGAATTAGATTTTTCTCTTTTAAACTTAAAAACCACATCCCCAGGTCGTCTTTAATCACATCTTTTTAAATCATTGCTTTCCTGATAATTGGACCAAAATTATTATAATCCCAATTTATAAACAACAAACCCAAAAGATTGTCCCACATCTTACCGTCCCATTTCCCTCACCTGTCGCATGTGTAAACTTCTCGAAAAGATTTTAAATTACAGGCTTACATGGTATCTAGAAAATGAAAATCTCCTGACCACAGTCCAAAGTGGTTTTCGACGAGAAAGATCTGCTAACGACAACTTAGTGGCACTTGTGTCAACCATTCATGATGCATTCTTACTAGATCAGAAAGTTATAGCAGTCTTTTTTGATGTGAATAAAGCTTTCGACACAACATGGACATAGCTCATATTAAATAAACTTGACAAATGGGAAATTCAAGGACATATGCTTGCGTTTATAAAAAACTTTCTAAATAAAAGGGAAATACAGGTAAGAGTAAATGGATACACCTCTACCACTAGAATACTCGACAACAGTGTTTTTACAAGGTTCTATTTTAAGCCCATCTGTATTTTGAATTGCATTTAATTATGTAATAAATACAATTAATCTTCCTATAAAAGCAAACTTATACGCTAATGATTTAGTTGTGTATATAAAAGGCAAAAATATTACATCTGGGGCTAAAATACTACAGAACCTTCTATACAAAATCGAAGAATGGTCTTCCAAAACAGGCTTCCTCTTTTCAACTAATAAGACACATTACACAGTTTTCAGCAAACTCAAGAATACCATTCCTGTTTCGTTAATATTTAACGGTCAAAATATATCTCATTCAGAGGAATCGAATGTTTTGGGCCTAACGTTTGATTACAAATTAAATTGGAAAACACACATTACGACTTTACAACTAACTTGTTAAAATAGAATAAACTTGCTGAAAATTCTATCAAATAATATATGGGAGCTAATTTTAGTATTCTGCTTAACCTCTACAAATCAATTATTCGCAGTAAACTAGACTACGGTGAAATGTGCTACGATACAGCAAATAAAACATTCCTAAAAAACCTTAACACAATTCAAACACCAGCACTAAGATTAGCCGTCGGTGGGGTACTACAAGTTTTATTACTACTGTTTCAAGTGTGGCGTTTACAGGAAATAGGCTTGCTACAGAAGATTTTTTGACCAAAGTGGCAACCCCATCAGAAGAATAATATTACAATTGCTTATTCTGTCATTTCTAAAACAAGTGAACTGCTTGTTTAAAAAACACTGCGTGTTTGAAATTGTAATTTTTGTTTGGACTAAGGTTAGTTTGTTGGATACATATTATATCTGGGCAATGGTCAGAAATGGGTTTCTGTAAAAAGACAAGTCGATGGAAGAGTCCATCGATATTCCATTGGAGTAGTGTTCTGAATTTGCTTGTGCACGTGGTAATGCTTCGTTTAGCAGATCTTCCTTTTAAATGGGGGTAAATTGTGTTTAGGATATGAATAGTAAAGTCCTGAATTATATTAATGGGATTTTGTTCACCACTAACTTACTTAAGAGTAAACAAAATTGATCGAAATTGAGGATAAATGGTTGTGATTGATTTGTTGTGTCTATTGTGATATCAATATTGTTAATAGTTTTTTGGTTAGGTGTTTTATCAGATTTTTGTTTTATTGATTCTGTTTTATCTGTAGAAGATGAAGTTGGAGTTGGAATAATGACATTGCTAAGTTGGGTTTGGGATAAATTATCATTATTGGTTTCCATAGAACATTCTTCAACATGAACTTGTGACTTTTCATTGCAGCGATGGGGAGTATGTCCGGTTTTTTTGCAGTTGAAACATACCGTACTATCTTGAGACAGAAAGATTCGATATGTTGTTTCGTCATGATTTATAGTAAACGAATCAGGTAGTTCTATACTATGAGGACTTACATAGACCTGTCTTCTGAAACTGAGAATATGACTATACTCAGCGCTGATTTTTAAAAATGTAATTGGAGATACCATGTTAAGTCTGATATTTTGTAGGTAGTTGATTAAGAAACTATGCAGTATGGTGGGACACACATTTGATAATGATAATGTGACACACACTAATAAAATCCGTAAAATAGTTTCGAAACACAATTCAGATTTCTGCTTATAATCTGAGCCTTCTAAAAATTGCAAGCCAAACAGACGTTGATAAAAGATGTTAAAAGGAACATGGGGAATCTAATCTTTATTATTAGATGTCGCTATTGCGTCCGTATTGAAGCCATTTTAGTGTTGCTTCTTAATAGACAGAAAATATTGATTTTTCACGTTGAGAACACCTATGAATAACTGTTCTGATGAGACCTATTAGGTCGAAATACGTATCAACAGATACATAGGCGCTTTTTGCGTGAAATCAAATATTTGCTGTCTTTTTCATTTTATCCGGATATACTCTGTGTGAGTACGAGAAACACAATTCGCTAAGGATTTCTGCTTAGTTGTAAAGACATGTCGTGGAATGCAAATTTTAGATTCCCCATGTCCCTTTTAACATCTTTTATCAACGTCTGTCTGCCTTATAATTTTTAGAAGACTCAGATTAGAAGCAGAAATCTGAATTGTGTTTCGAAACTATTTTACGGATTTTATTATTAGATGCCGCTATTGCGTCCGTATTTCTTCCTTATTTTCTTCCAAATTACTCATTTTGCAGTTACTCATAGCATTGACTCGAGATTTTTGTCTCTCAGTCAATGTCAGTTTCTTAATTTTGTATTTTATTTGTTTATCCACTTTTTTGTACATCAACAGTTGTACAACAACACCGACTTCTACAGTTGATTCTAAAGGGCAAGATTAAGGGTAAGAGAGACCCTGGATGTACACGTACATCCTAGCTGGCCAATCTTAGGAACTGGACTGGTCTAACGTTAACTGATCTATTTCGAGCTGCTGTGAATAGAATAAGATGGGTCAATGTGGTGGCCAACATCTCTAGAAGAAAGGCACATTTAGAAGAAAAGCATCTAAGATATTTACACTAATACCGGAAGTCTAAAAAGACTTCCCTTGTTTTCAAATCACCTTTTATAGTTTTTAAAGTTTAACGCCCATTTAATAAAATATTTAAAATTTTCCTATGTATTATTTTTAAATATATTTGCGGCAATTATAAAATTATCACACTAACAATGCTAATATTATTGTCATGCATATTTTATATTACATTAATAAATACATATTACAGATAATTTTTAATGTATAAAAGAATACTTCTTTCATATATTTATATTCATTTTTAAAGCTAAAAGTAATCATGAAACTTCTTTTTGTTATAGTTGTTTTGGTTGCTGTATCTTTCGCAGTAGGACTACCTACTACTGGTAAATATATAAGATTTTTTTATGTTTTACTACACATAAATAAAATCTACAATTAAGACGATTTTACTTGTTTGAACTGGTCTATGAGAGTTGTTGATATTTTGACGTTTGTTGATTATATTATGTGGTTGTCAGTTGACTTTATATCCAGTTATGGATATAAATTGTTTATTTTCATACTTGTTTAAATAAAAAAACTTTGTTCTATAATATTTACTTTTTTCTTATACAACAGGTCGTTATAGGCCATTACGCCCGCTTATTATGTCCTACGATATAACAAGTGTGTTTATTGTAACCGTATCCAGCTGAACTAAACAGATAATATATTTTATGTTTACAATATACTCTATACACAGAGTAGTAAGTAAATAGTCTGTAAGTAAATTAACGTAAGTTATGTACCGTCCAGTGACGTTTCTCTAAGTATTATTGAGGTAGGTCTTCTGGCCATAGCCTCTTCAGTCTTCTTTTGGCAAGTAGCTGGGTGAATAAATTATTTATCAGTTTGTTGTTGTGATCAGCGGTGCGATTTTTATATTTTATTGAGTGATTCTTTATTATGTCCTTAAGTAATGGGATGTCCAGATCATTGTGAAGTGTTTGGTTATATACATACCATGGAGCATTACTTATGATACGGAGTATTTTGGATAAGAATATTGAAGTATCTTCATATTTGAAGGTTTACTACAGCTCTATAGTTCTATTCCGTATGCCTAAACTGGTATAAGTATAGTTTTGTACAGAAGCAGTTTATTTTCAAGAGATAACTGAGACCTTTTGTTAAATAGCCAGTTCATACTTTTTAGTTTAAGATCTAGTTGTTTCCGTTTAGTTTTAATGTGCGTTTTACATGTAAGTTTTCATCCAGGTGCAATCCCAAGTATTTGACAACTGGTACCAATAACCATTACATTGACAACAAGTAATATTAATATAGACTTGTGGACATGTGGATTTTTTTGTGGTAAAAGTAATTTGTACTGATTTGCTAGCATTAACACTGATCTTCATCGCTTAAGCCAGTTTTATTATTAATCTAAATGATTTTGTACTTTATGTGATGCTACATTAGGGTCGATATCCACTGCCAAGATTCCCGTGTCATCGGCAAATGTAGCTAAAGCGTCATTGCTGGTTGGAACATCTGCTGTAAATATCAGATACAGAAATGGTTCCAAAATGCTACCTGAGGTACGCCAGATTGTATGATGTGGTAATTTGAGTAGCTGTCTTTCAATTTTGACTTGGAGGTAACGGTCAGTAAGATATGATTTTAGTATAAAGTATAGTTGGTCTGTTAGGTGTAATTTCAGTTTGCAGAGGTGACCTTTATATCATACTCTATCAAATGCCTGTTGTATATCTAGAAACACTCCAGTGCAAAACTTTTTCTCTTCGAGAGTTGTTTTAATTATATTTACTATTCTGTGGCATTGTTGGATGGTTGAGTGTTCACATCTAAATCCGAATTGGTATTGTGGTATAATTTCGTTTATGGGAACAACTTAATCGATTTTATGTAATAGTAGCCTTTCTAACACTTTCAAAATTATTGGGAATAGGCTTATAGGGTAATACGAATTTGCTTGCGTTGCAGGCTTACCAGGTTTCGGATTTATAGTAACTTGAGCAAACTTCCATTGTACTAGAAAGTATCGAAGACGTAGTATGCTGTTGTATATTACTGTTAATAACACCACTGCTTTTCTCGGTAGCTTCTGAAGTAATTCTCCTGTTATCAAATCATAGCCAGCAGCTTTTTTAGGATTTAACATTTTTATTTGTTGTCGAACCTCTGTCGCAATAAATGTCAGAGGAAGAAATAGTTGACATGGAGTTTCGAGGTGCATTCTTATATCATCATCTTTATCGTTATTAGTATCTGGTGCTGCGAGGCGTATCCGTTGTGCGGGCCCAGGTCATATCTGTTTTGCTTAAAGGTGAATTTGTTATTGTCGGTCGTTTAAATTTTTTTGTAGCTTTCCATAGAGAGTGGTCTTTATGTACATATAGTTTAATCTTTGTATTTACAAAATTTTGGAAAACATCCCAGTTTGTTTCTTTAGTTGCGAGTTTGGGTGGTAGTGTTCTCCATATTATGTGTGTACTTAAAATTAATATTATTGTACTGTGATCTGATGTTAAATTAAAGTTTGACTCTATTGCACTATGTATGTCAGATATCCTTTTTGTTACAGCAAAATCTACCAAATCTGTAATTTTCTTGGCATCCGTATGCCAATATGTGGGTTCTCCTGAAGACAAGTATCATAAGTTATTTTGTTGGATAATATTCAATAATGCTCGACCTTTAGGCGTGATTAATCTGGAACCCCATGAGGTGTGTTTGGCATTCCAGTCTCCTGCTACTACGAATTTGAATCTAAGAATTTGTATGAAATCGTGATACTCTTCGCTTGAAATTGGGATGTCTAGGTGGGTTGTAGGCTGATGATACACTGAGGGAGGTGTTTGTTTCGATTTTAATGATTGTCGCTTGATTTTTTTCCGTAATATAAGGTTGGACAGCATAGTGTGTAATTTTTGATTGATTAATAACGGCAGAACCTGCATGTGCTTCTCCCTCTGGATGGTTGGCATGATACAAAGTATAGTAAGGTATCTTAATAACCGTTCTTTATGTGGCATGGCTTTCAGATATTAATAGAATGTCTATATTATACATTTTTAAAAACAGTGATATCTCAAAGTTTGAAATGCCGTTGGCATTCCACGGCGCAATTCGTAGTATCTTGAAAGCTTTTTTTTAATTTTGAGATTTTTCTGAGATTGGTGGATTTTTATTCGTGTATTAAAAAGTATCATTTGATTGACTATTGGTTGATTTGAGCACAATGGTGGAGATTGAATATTTATTTGACTTACTTGGTAATACAGATATATTAGGTTTGTATGCTCGTTCTGTATTACAGTTGGAAACTGCACTGTAGATCTATAGGGTAATAAAAATCACTTAATCCTGGTCCATTCCCTGTAGGACATATTTTCCCTATACTTAGTGCTCACTTTTATTTTACATTGATTATATAAATGAAAAATTATTTATTCTAATAGTCAATTTAAATATACCAAATCTCGATACAATATAAACAAATAATATGCATTTTGGACACTTTAAAATACATTCAGAAATCATGGGCAAGAAATCATGCATTAAATATAAACTCTAAAAAAACTAATCTGGTGGTTTTTGATAATGAGATCATTAAACCTGTAACTACTGCAAAAAATCTAGGTTTAACTTTAGATAATCACCTTGAATTTACAAAACAAAACCGGGGGAAAATGTTTCATCAGACCATAATCTTTTACTAGGACGTTTCAAAGTCCATGTGAAAAAAGAAAAGCACAATGTCGTCCGGATATCCAGAAGTTGAAAGATAAAACCACAAGACAAGAAGTCTAAGAAAAAATCAGCAACAAACTAAACAGCATGGTAATCTCAGATATTAATCAAGAAAACATAAGTGTGAATGATATGTAAAATAAAATCAAAAATATCTGTAATTCAGTGATAGATAATAAACTTCAACCAGAAAACAGTATAAAGAAACAGCCGTGGATGAGACACGAAATATTAGAGCAAATGGAAGAACGAAGAAAACACAAAAATAAGAATGAGGAAAGGTACAAAGAAATAAACAAAATCATTAAGAAAAAGATTATAGAAGCAAAAGAATCATGGCTATAAAGTTAATGCATAGAAAGAGAATCCCTAAAACAGAAGCATGACACTTTTAACCTACATAAAAAGATCAAAAACGAAGTCATAACTAACATAATACTAGACGAGCACAACAATCTGCTCTACGAAAATGAGAGAATACTTGAGAGGTGGTACATACATGGAAGAATTATTCAAGGAAGAGCAAGAGATAGAAGTCAGTGTTTCTGAATGTTCAGGACCAGAAATAACGCTCAGTGAAGTAACATATGCAATAAAAAGACTAAACACCAACAAAGCACCTGGACATGATAACATACAAGCTGAAATATTGACACTATTTAAAAACAACCAACTCAAACTCCTAACGAGTCTACTGAACAAAATCTATAAAACTGCAGAATTTCCTACAGATTGGCTAGTTTTCACCTTTATCCCTCTCCCCAAAAAGGCAAATCCCACCAGATGCTCTGATTACAGAATTATAAGCTTAATGAGCCATGCACTTAAAATCCTTCTTTCTGTTATTTACTCTCGCATATATAGACAACTTGAAGAAAACCTTAGCAGTGTCAAGTTTGGGTTTAGAACTGGACTGGGAACGCGAGAGGCTCTATTTTCCATACAAGTATTAATGCAAAGAGCTCGAGACGTAAATTACGAAGTCTGCGCATGCTTTATAGACTTTGATAATTTGACAAGGTGCAACAACAAAAATTATTTCAGATACTGAAAGAATCTAGTATTGGCGATAAAGATTTACGCCTAATTAAAAATTTATACTTACAGTGAAGAGCAACTCTACGAGTAGAGAAAGACCCCTCACAAGAATTCTCGATAAAATGGGGAGTACATCAGGGCTGCATTTTGCCACTGAAATTGTTGTTCCATACTTACTCGCAAATGCTGTTCAGGGAAGCTATTGATGGTTTAAGAGAAGGTATAAAAATCAATGGTGAAATCAAACAATTTAGAATATGCGGACAATACGGTTTTGATTGCTGATAATGCGGAGGATCTGGAAATATTAACGGACCGTGTAGTGGAAGCCTGTGACAGATACGGCATGAAATTAAACTGCAAGAAGACCAAAATTCTTGTAGTAAGTAAAAACGACGTAATACAGCACCAATCCACAGCTAATAATGAACCCTTGAAAATAGTCGACAAAATTACATATCTTGGATGCAGCCTAAATAAGAAATGGACCACTCACAGGAAATAAGATGTCGTATAGAAAAGGCGTGAGCTGTCTTCAATCGCCTCAGGAAGATTTTATGTAATATGCACCTGAACATTGATATAAGAACACGAGTCTTAAGATGCTATGTATTTTCTACCCTTTTATATGGAGTCGAAGCCTGGACCTTGATTGAGGCCACATCCAAACTATTAGAAGCCTTCGAAATGTGGTGCTACCGCCTCATGCTCAGAATTTCCTATATCCATTATGTTACAAACCCCCATAAATTAATATTTATTCCCCATAAATTAATAAGGCTCGTAAAAACAACTATGAGTAAAGTGATCTGCAGAGTGCAAATACAAGGCGATATGTCACAAGCGTTTGAAACATATGCAGGGTTACGGCAGGGAGACGCGCTGGCGTGCCTTCTCTTTAATATAGCGTTAGAAAAGACTATAAGAGATGCCGAGTTACACAATAGGGGAACATCTTTAATAAATCAACGCAGATTATGGCTTACGCTGACGATCTGGATTTGATCGCACGTACTACACGAGGACTTAAAGAGATGACTTTCACCTTCTTGACAGCCGCACAAAATATGGGCCTTAAAATAAACAAGGAAAAAACCAAAATGTTAGCATCTATTCCAAATAACAGAGATAGAACTAGAAACGCCGAACAAAACTTCAGTATAGACCAATATAATTTTGAGGTAGTAAATAAGTTTACATATTTGGGTTCTCTCATAACAAACGATAATGACACATCTGAAGAAGTTAAACGGAGGGTACTGCTAGCAAACAAATGTTATTTTGGACTAAGCAAGCAGCTAAAAAACAGAAATTTAAGCCAGAAAACCAAACTAATAATATATCGAACACTCATCCTACCAGTGCTGACATATGGATCAGAAACATGGACCATCTCCAAAACAGACGCAAATCTTCTGCTCGTCTTCGAAAGGAAGATACTAAGAAGAATAATGGGCGCATTCTGTGAGAATGGTATTTGGAGAAGGCGATATAATTTCGAATTGTACGAGAAGTATAAAAAAATAGTAAATGGGAGAGATGTAATATCCTTCATAAAAATAGGTAGGCTTAGATGGGCTGGACATGTGTCAAGAGCAAATGAAAATTACCCACCCAGACGAACTCTATTATCGGTCCCAGTGGGAAATAGGAGTAGAGGCAGACCACGACTGAGATGGAGGGACGGTGTGAACGAGGACGCAAGGAAAATTGGCGCGGCAAATTGGTAACGGTTGGCGATGAACAGAAACGACTGGCGAAATAGACTGGGGAAGGTCAAGGCTCAACTAGAGCTGTAGCACCACTGATGATGATGATTATGTTACAAACAACACCGTGATCCAATGTATGAATAAAGATCTGGAAATTATGCGTATCTTGAAAATCACAAAGATGACATACTTAGGCATGACATGCGCAATTAGAAGTATCAACTACTAATTCAACTAATTCTATAAGGCAAGATAGAAGGCAAAAGATGTCAAGAGCGCAGAAGGACATCATGGTTAAAGAACATCAGACAGTGAGTAGGAATGACTACCATACATGTATTTAGAGCAGCTGTCAACAAAGTTTTATGGACAAACGTGATTGTCAACATCCACAGAGGATAGGCACCAAAAGTTGAAGAAGAACTGCAAACCTCTGGCTACTGATACACCATGACATAGATGTTCCAGATACCGCAATAAAGTGGCTTAAATCTAGATCACTTTCTCTCCTTACGGCATGACAACTACATAAGGAAGATTTCAGCTCCCAAGCAAAATGTAAAGAACGCTAAGAATCGGTGGCACCACCACAAATAATATTTAACCACACTGAATGCCTTCCAGAAATGGAATTAACCAGCTTTGAGTGGAACACTCTAAACCATAATAGAACATCTAATGGCCACGACTGGGTATTATATGCTGGATGTCGGCGTCCGGCTATTTTCGATATGGAGACCTCTCCTAAAGAAAATATCGTCCACTCCATCCTCAAATCAAAATCCTGCGGTCAGAAATGTTCGCGACATCATCTTTGATGTCGAAAGCTCGGCGCAGTGATAATTCTTAATTTTTATTAATATTGTCTATCATATTATTTTATTCAAATTTTATACTACAAATTTTAATAATACATTACCTTTTACAGAAAAATGTCCTCCCAAACAAGCTAGCTACTGCACTAATCCGTGCCATCCTATACCGACATGTCAAAATAGAAAACCAAGAAGTTCTGTACCTATTAGTTGTGGTGGTCTCTGTATTCGTAGATGTGAATGTGATATCGACAATGGTTACATAAGAAATACGGTGGATAACAGATGTGTAAAAGAAGCAGATTGTCCCTAAGTATTTGATGATTTTAAGAACATAATAAATTGTATAAAACAGATGATTAAAATAAAAAAATTATTAAAATTAGAAGGATTATTGTTTTCACTATAAGAATTTTGCGTTTTTTTTTCAACAATCTAATATATAGTACCGTACGTCATAGTTGGTGTTATGTTTTACCAAAGTTATTATTATTATTTTCTCTATTTCAGTCCCAATCTACTTCATTCAGCTCCATCTAGGTATATCTTCTAGAATCATTTTACTAACCAAAGTTATAATCCCATTTATAGTATTTACCCCATCGTGACAGAAAACAATATATCAATAAGATAAAGTAAAAAGCTTTGTAATTAATAAAAAAATTTCTTAAAGGTAAATGTTATGAATTATAGGAGGATAACTACTACTTCAGTAACTAACTTTATTCCTACGAACTAGGCAACACAAGTTACAATCTTACATATACTGTAATTATTACTCTCTAGTTAGTCTCTTTAGTAATATTTTTAAAATAAAATAAATACGGTGTAAACATCTTTTTTTTTTTCTTATTTTGGTTGGATTTGTAAGCAAATAACTTGAAACCGGAATATTCAAATTTTTTAGACCAAGCGCTATCTGTTCTAAAACACTCTCATTTTGGTAAATCGTATAGCATGAAAAATATTTCTTAACGTCACAAGACAAAATTGAATATATTTTAAACTTTTCTATGAGAGACGGATCCATATTAATATTTTTTATCAAAGTTACCAATATTGATTATATCATTTTTATTAAACGCAACAAGGTGAAACCCAATTTTTGTTTATAGCGTGATAAAGTTTACCTTTAATTTTTACTCCAATTTCCCAGCATCTCAATAGTACGATTTAGAGGAAGAATATAAATTATTAAACATAGTTTTATACAACCGAGAAATTAACTAAAAACTTCTTCTTCTTCTTCTGCCTTTATTGTGTAATACCCTAGGGGATAATTTGCCCAGTTAATTCAGGGCGGATATTCTCAACTTGCTCTAGACAATCGAATATCCCCATATAACACTAAATTGAAATTATTCTATATTGAATGCACATTATGTTGAAACTTCTTCTTCTTGGGTCAAGCAGTTAATATAGGAAAGACAATTCAACACAGGATAAAACTTTTCTCGCTTGAGGGTAGCAACCAAGCTGTTGTTGTTTGTTTGTGTTTAAATAAAATAAGTGATGAGGTCCTAAGAGTTTCACAGCAAACTCTTCTGCAGCTATCTACTTAATTCAATAGCTACTTTACTGTGGACTGTCCAAGTTCCTCAATTTTTCTCTTTTTTTTATTTTTAGCAACCAAGCTGAACACATACTAGAAATGCTACCAACGAATGATAGTCAGAGAACCCAAGTGTAAAAAAAGGGAGGAATTTGTAAGGTTATGTTATAGTAGAATATAAGATAAGAATATATATTATAGATTGATTTTGGCTATATTAAGTAAAGTAATCAACCAATTTAGTCTTTGAGGATTAAGATTGCATAGGAGAGAGCAAATCTCTATAGCAGTTTGTAGATTTTTTTTAACGAATTCTTTGTAGAGGTTAAAATTTGGAGAAACGTTTATTGGACACTCTAGGATAATATGATTTATAGATCCAATTTGACTACATTCACAGTATGGGTTGTCCCTAATACCGATACGGAATAAATGAACGGGAGTAGAACAATGTCCTGTTCTCATTCTAATTACTGTGGTGATATCCCTTCTTTCTTTATAAGGAAATTGATTGAACCATTGTGATTTGTTCTGTTTATTGACTATTTTACTATAAAACGACCCTTTTTGATCTGTTTAAATTCTATGCTTGTGTCCATCGAGTCCAAATTATTTTTTAATATAAAATAAGTAGTTTGAATAATGCAATTTAACTTTGGATGGTATTTTTAGTGATCTTCCTATGTTTGCCAATTTGTCTGCAACACAATTGCCCTTAATAATATATTAATAAACTGTGAGTTTAGTGTGAGTTCTATGCTTCAATCATGACTGTAGTGAGAACTACAGTCATAATTGAAGGTCAAACAAGAGCCAAAAACTGGCAAGGACAGTTTTTTTTTATTGTTCTGCAGATTTTTCTTAAATTCGGCAAATGCGCATCTGTTGCATTTAAGTGATAGCCGAACTTATTTCTTACTACCAAAATGACAACTTGTTACTGTTTTATCAACAAAATCCCTAGTTTGCAGATTTTAATTGTAATTTTATCTTTAGGTACACTTAATTTAAAAATTACATCAGTATGGCTAATGAACCTTTGCTTTAAATAAAGTTTTTTGGATAGGTAATCATTTAATTCAAGGTAATTCAAGTATTGATTTTAGTAAGTTCAAAAATTATTACACATTACCAAAGTTTAGACAGGTTACAAAGTAAGTTATGACATGGATTCAGACGCGTAATCGTATGGAATTGACTTAAGCCAAACTGGCACCAGAGAGGTTGCCAGGCCATATTTTACTTCTTCAGCAGATTGGGAATAATGGATATATATCAATAAATAATTTTTTTTCAAAATTTATAATTGAACACTGACATAATGATTACTTTTTCAACATGATTTTATCATTACATTTTTTTAGTAGATTAATATAGTGTTTCAGTAAATCAGTAAGTTGAAGATGAAATCAGTAGATCTACAGAAAAATTAGTATACTTGGTAACCCTGCGAGAAGTAGTACTGGGCAACGTACAGGCACCAAAACATGGCGGTCACATCAAAACTGGTTTCACTTTTCGAAGGTTTATTAAATGAGAGTTACTTGTCCTCTCTCTTTCCTTATATAAGGGTCACTTTAACGTTGTTGCCAATTTGCTAGTATCTCACTCGCTCTTGTTCCCATAAAATTTCCAACGCAATTACGTGCCTACTATATTTTTGGACGAATGCACAGATTTTGCCACGTCGCGGATGTCCATAGTACCCTGTATCTTACCAATAGCTCGTAGCTGTGTTTCGCGATCAAGATGAGTTTTTTTTAACAGAAAAATATTTACACCCAGAAGTTTCTTGAAAGTAAACAATTTTCATTTCGTGTCTCCTAGACCATTTTGATGTGTATATACATGTGCATTTTGCATATAATCTGGTGATTTCATATTTGTTAATTTTTAATTTCCTTGCTTTAAGTTTTAGACATTTTCGTCTTGTGGTTAATTATTACATTGGGAGTTTCTGGCAAGAACTGTTCATTTTCTTTTTTAAACCTTTCTGTGAGGATACCATGTATCATCCATGTATCCTATTTTATGAATATTATTTCCGCCAGTTCCTTCATTTTATGCTATTGTTGTCTTAAGAAGCTCCATACTTTTCTGTTGTCCATAGAAATCCATAGTTTTTCCAATTTATATTTTATATTATATATATTTCTTGACGTTGATAGCAATAAACATTTTGACTATTTTTATTAAAAACTATAACATAGAAAAAATTTACAGTCTATCATAATTACAAATATTTTGAGCACATTTTTTGTATTGTTGTGTAGCATGTCATATATCGTAACCTAAAACGTATTACTTATCATCTTCTGGACACTCTTTTATGCATTTTCCAGTTTCTGTATCCTTGAAATACCCGCTTTTACAGTTACATTGTAGTTTACATATAACCGAACAAACTCCTGGACATTTCTGCGCGACTTTATTTTCGCACGTTACTTCTTCTTCTGGACAGCATGGCGCGCATCCAGGGGTCTCTTCAGGTCCACATTTCGCATCTGAAACAAAAATAATAAATATTTTAGTAAATAAAAAAGAATCTTTACAATTACATAAATTTTGTTAATAAAATATTATGTTAAATAGTAATATTAAAACAGAGAACAAAATTTACCAATAGATATAGATCTAAATAAATGAATAGTTGGTAATACAATGAAGCAAGACGATAAACATAGCAATATACTATGCAAAAGAATTGACGTGAAAATGCAAACTATAAAGTGAAAGGGAAAAAATGTCACTGGTATTGTCAATGGTAGACACTGGTGTATTCAAAATAAATACCTGATGCAAATGGTACTTTTAGATTCCAAATCAGTATTATAGACACTTAATAAGTCTCCCTTTATCTTCTTTGAGTGCCTCTCCTATCGGAGATTGGATATCATTATGGCGATTCTAATTTTATTAACTGCTGATTTGAATAATTCGTTAGTGGTACAGCCAACCCACTATCTTAAATTTCTCATCCAGGACATTCTTCTACGGCCTGGATTTCTGCGTCCTTGGATTTTTCCTTGCATTATATTTCGTAGTGTACTTTTGTCCTCTTATCAGGTGGCCTAAGTATTCAAGTTTTCTCTTTTTTATATTCATGATAACTTCTGGATCGTTTTTTATTCTGCGTAGTGCCTCTTGATTTGTAATTTTATCCACCCAACTTATTTTTACTATACGGCGGTAGCACCACATCTCAAAGCTTTCAAGATTTCTAATATTCCTCTGTTTAAGACAGCAACTCTCAACACCGTAAAGCAAAGCACTGAATACATAGCACTTTAACATTCTAGTTTGTAGATGAATACTAATATAACGATTACAAAATAATTTTTTCATTTTTATAAAGGTAGACATGGCAATTTCAATACGTCTTTTTATCTCGTGATTTTGGTCACCTATTTGCAGTTGACCAAACCGTATGCATCCGTACCATTCCCTTAAGTAACGCAACCATGAGATTCTTCTCCTTCCTACACTTTTCTTGCCCTGGATTTTCCCTTGTATAATCAATATTATATCCCTGAAGTAGGTTATATCTCTCATTGCGCATAACATGCCCCAGGTATTGCAGGTTTCGTGTCTTGATGGTTTCCAATACTTCCATTCTTTTGTTGATTCTTCTCATGATTTCGTTGTTTGTCACATGCTCGGTCCATGATATCTTCATGATTCGTCTATATACCCACATTTCAAATGCTTCCAACTTTTTAGCAGTCGACGCGTTAAGTGTCCATGCTTCCATACCATAAAGCAGAGTCGAGAAAATATAACACCTTGCCAGCCTAACTTTCAAGTCCAATTTTAGTTTTCTTACACAAAGTACCTTTCTCATTTTATTGAAGTTTGTACGTGCTTTCTCTATTCGAACTTTGATTTCTTTGGAGTAATCGTTTGTGTGATTAATTATTGTGCCAAGATAGTGGTAGTTTTCAACTTGTTCTAAAGCAGTACAGTTAATTGTCAGGCTTTCACCATTATTTTGGGTTTTCGATATCCTCATAAATTTGGTTTGTTTTCTTGGTGTTTATTGATAATCCATATTCTTCTCCATACTCAACTATCTTGTTCATTAGCTTTTGGAGGTCTTGGAGGTTGTCTGCTATTATGATAGTATCGTCCGCATATCTAATGTTGTTAATTGGTGTTCCATTGACCTTGATTCCTGCTGTTTCTCCCTCAAGAGCTTTTTTCATAATTTCTTCAGAGTATGCATTGAATAGTAGTGGTGACAATATACACCCCTGTCGCACTCCTCTTTTAACTTCGAACTCTTCTGATGTGTGTTCATTAATGCGTACGTGTGCCTGCTGTTTATAATATAGATTTGTTATAATTCGAAGGTCATTGTGTTGTAGTTGTTTTGCTTTGAGGATGTCCATTAGCTTTTTGTGGCGGACTTTGTCGAAAGCTTTGTTGTAGTCTATGAAACAAACGTACATATCTTGGTTCATATCCAAGCATCTCTTGAAGACAAGTCTTGTAGGTCTTTTCCTCATAATAAGTTTGTTTTGTCTCTCTTATCTTTTTTCTGATTTCATTGTTTATGATTTTGTAATTGTGACTGACTTTGTTCTTGGCTTATCTTCGTTGTTCCATCATGTCGAGTATATGTATAAAATCGCTTATAACTACCGTGATTTTCCTGTTCTTTGTCATTTTCAGTGCATGTTCAATTTGTTGGTAGAATGTTTCTACTTCATCTTCTGTTGCATCCGTAGTTGGCGCATATACTTGGATCAGATTTAGTTTTGTGTGTAATGTCCTTATTTGTAGTAGCATCACTCTTTCTGAGATTGGGACAAAGCCCTCTATTGACTTGTTGACCTCTGTATCGACAATAATTGCTACTCCACGTCTATCTTGGTTATCAGTGTTTCCCGAATAATATAAGGTACCGGTTTTTGTTGAAAGATATCCTGAGTTAGGCCACCATGTTTCGCTTACTCCTAATATATTTATATTCAGTCTTCCCATTTCCTGAATGATGTTATGCATTTTACCAGGTTGATACATACTTTTGACGTTTCACGTACCTATTTTTGCTTTTGATAATTTTAGTTTGTCTTGTTTCGAAGTTTGACAAGGGTTTCGCCTGTTAACGACCTGGGAGTCCTTGTCTGTTCTTTCCCTGCCGGATATTGGGCTCCGATTTCCATGATCAGTTTCTTTTTTTTTCTTTAGTACTCATTGCCATGATAATTGTACTAGAGATATCCAATTAGATCTTTAATGCAGTGGTTTCTCCTTACCTTCTGCATTCTTATGCCGTTGGCCATTTACTTGATTCATTCGCCTTTGGTGCCAATTTCTTAGCACCAGGAAAAAAGAGTGCCCTTCCACTTACTAACTCATCCGCCCGAAGCCGTTGGTCAGTAAGTGTGGGATTGCTTATACCGGCAATCGTTCGGCGGGTACCGTTTTTCAAGTTGGGTACATTGACATAATGATTACTTTTTCAATATGATTTTATCTTTACATTTTTTTAGTAGATCGATATAGTGTTTCAGTAAATTGAAGTTGAAATTAGTAGATCTACTGAAAAATCAGTAGATGTGGTAACCCTGCGAGAGGTAGTAATGGGCAACGTAAGGACATCAAAACATGCGGTCCCATCAAAACAGGCTTCACTGTTCAAAGGTTTATTAAATGAACGTTACCTGTCCTCTCTCTTTTCTTGTCTAAGTTTAAAGCACTCTAAAGAGGCACATTGTACACTCCAAGAAAGAGGACAGTTCGTAGCTCTACTAATGCAGACAAACACAATAATACTATGTAGGCTTTAATAATTTAAGATTTCATTTCAGGACATCCTACAAAAAATAATAATAAAAAATCTAAAAAACGACCTCGGTCAACAAAAAAACTAACAAAAAGCACAAAAACCTGGGAACGTAGGGCTCAACTCCTTGAACACCAACTCTCCGAACTAAGTGCAGGCCGAAGAGTCTTCTTCTTCTTCTGGTTCCTATCCGTTTCGGATATTGGAAATCATATTGGCAATCATAACCTTGCTCGCTGCGGCTCGAAACAGCTCCGTTGAGGTTTTCTTAAACCATGTTCTTAAATTCCGCAGCCATGATATTCTCCTTCTACCGGGTCCTCGCTTACCTTTGACTTTACCTTGCAATATAGACTGTAGCAGGGAGTAACGGTGCTGATTTCTCATAACGTGTCCCAGATATTGCAATTTTATGCATTTGATGGTAAACACAATCTATAAAGCCACATCTCAAATGCTTTAAGTTTTTTAATAGTGGTGTCTGTAAGCGTCCATGCCTCCGCCCCGTACAACAACACAGAGAAAACATAGCATCTCAAATGTCTCATTTTTGTATCAAGGGATACGTTGTGACTTTTGAAGATGGCGCTCATTTTGTTAAAGACCGTTCTTGCCTTTCCTATGCGGCACTTTATTTCCTGTAAATTGCTCCACTGTTCGTTAATATTAGTTCCCAGGTAAATATACTGTTTTACTCGCTCTATCTGCGTCCCATTAATGTATAGATGAGCCCCATTTATATTCTCCTTGCTGATAATCATTTGTTTCGTGTTGTGGGTATTAATGTTTAGTCCGTACTGTTGACTGTACTCGTTTATTCTGTCCATTAGCCTCTGAAGTCCCTCTAAACTATCTGCTATCACCATGGTGTCGTCGGCATATCTAACATTGTTTACTCTTTCACCATTTAGAAGGATGCCTTCGTCTATTCCGTAAAGAGCCTCGTTAAAAATTTTCTCTGAGTACATATTAAATATCAACGGCGATAGGATACATCACTGTCTAACTCCACGTAGTATTTTTATGTGATCTGTTTCTTCTCCGTTAATTTTCATGTATGCGGTCTGATTCCAGTAGAGTTCTGAAATTATTCTGAGGTCTTTGTCATCCAGGTCTGCCTCTTTTAAAATTTTTATCATCTTTTGATGTTGAACTCTGTCAAATGCCTTTTCATAGTCGATCAAGCACGCGTATACGTCGCAGTTAACGTCCCTGCTATCTTTGAATCAGTACCTGTACTCCGAAAAGTGCCTCTCTGGTACCCACTGCGTTAATGAAGCCGAACTGTCTGTCCGATATTTGTTCCTCGCACTTCTTATAAATTCTTCCATGGATGACTCTAAGAAACAGTTTCAACATATGACTCATTAGGCTGATTGTTCGATATTCTTCGCACTTTCTAGCCCCCTGTTTTTTAGGTATCGCTATGAATTCTGATTCTAGCCATTTATCAGGGATGATTCCTGTATTGTATATTTTATTGAAGACAGCCGTGATCCAAATTATTCCTTCTTCCTCCAAGAGTTTTAAAAATTCAGCTTCGATATTATCAGGCCCCACAGCTTTCCTGCTTTTCATCCGTTTTATTGCTTCTTCTACCTCGGATTTAAGTATGTCCGGGCCCGTCATCCTCTCTGAAAATGAATGCCTATAATCCGTTCTTTGATCTTGAAAAAGGGTCTCCAAATATATTCTCCATTTGTCTTTCATCTCTTG